AGAATTTGTCTATCTTTCAAAAAGTTTCATCTGCGGCGTTGAAAATAAAGAAATCTGACTCCTTGGCCTTCCAGGTTCTCAAAAATTTCGCCCTAAAATACCCTAATGTCCAATAATACTTTATTCCCTCAAATCCCTTTATTCTTCATAAACTCTTAATAAATAATAGTAAAGCGGTTGTTCCCGTTTCCCAATGCCTTTTAAATGGGGTTGTTGGATTGGAGTTTCGCAAGCGTCCTTGCGTGAACTCAGCAAAGTAAAAGACAGGCAAGCGCTGGATTTAGTGGGTCTTCCTGCCGAACAGACACTAGGACTGACTGACATCCTTCTTCGGACTGACATCCCTTTTACTCATCCAAATATTACAATATCACATTTACTCACTTTAAATTTGCCTCATTCAATATCTCCCGAATGGACACTTAAATTCCTTCACCGGCTTTTCTCAGAATGGCAGTCTGTGCTAAACTTCGGATTGCTCTGGGAACTTCCGTTACTTAGCGCAAAGTTTAGAGCGCAATTATTCTTCAAGTGATTTCAGGTCGTATCAGCCTTACAATATTTAGGAAGGTCCCTTAATCCAAAATAGCTCCCCCAACTTTAATCTCTCGATATCCCTTTTAATCCCCAAATTTACTAACATCCATTTACTCATCCAAACCTCTCCCCTTTCACCCACCTCTTAACAATTTTTTTTCCAATTTGGAATAAATGTAAATTTAAAAAAGTGAGGTGGGGCTCTATTTTAGAGTGGGGCTCTAATTTAGCATGGGGCTTTATTTTAGGAAATACGGTATTTTAAAATTTATTTAAAAATAAAAGGAAGAATATTAAATGACAGAAAGCTAAATTCAAAGAAAATATTAAGTGTATTTAATTATCTATAAATTCAAAAAGATTCTTTATTTAAAAGAAATTTACCAAAATATTGCATGTGATATTCATCTGAATGTTTAAAGATTATAAATTAATTTATCTAAACGAATTTTAAAATGCAAAATTTAATTTTTTTTGCAAAATAATAAAATTTTATTACTAAATTTTTTCAAAAGTTGATGTTTTTTGCTAAAAATAATTTTTGTTTGTAATCTTTGGTTATTATTTTATAAAATTTTATATTTATAAAATAAAGTTTATCTCTATGAAGGCTACTAAAAGATCCGTATATTAAGTTATATCCTCAGGATACAGTTTTAATTGAATTTGAGTTTAATTTATATCAAAATTTATTTTTTTATAGTTCAGGTAGAACTGCTATTTCGATTAGGTCCGAAGAATTAATTTTTATCATTATTTTGATTATAAGAACCAATTTTTGCATATATTTGTGCGCATTTTGCGATTTTGAATGCATATTTTGTCTAGACTAGTTATAAAAGCTTATAAATATTTAAAAAGCAGTTGTTATTTTCGAGAAAGGTCCCTAAACAAGTCTAGAATAACAGAGCTTATTTTATAAAATAAAATTATATTTCAAAATTTAATTTTTAATTCTTGTTTTGCTTTATGTCAATACCTTTAAACAAAAAAGAAAATAATTTTTAGTTTTTTCTAAAATTTAAAATTTAAAAAAATTAGCAAATAATCATGAAAGTAAACTTTGAGCTTTTCTAAAAATAATTTTAGAAGGGTGATAAACAAAATATTGCGAATTAAAAAATTATTTATTTTAGCAAAACATACATAAATACACTAACTTTCATAAAACAAATAAAGATTTATGGATTTATTTTATTTAAAAAAAATTTAAATATTCCCAAAATTTATTAAATTAAATATTTTTTTATTTTTAAAATTTCTCAAATTTTTTTTTAAATTTAAATTTAAATTTAAAAATCACATTTATTTTATTTAAAAATAAAATATTCTATCATTTTAAAATTAATTTCTTCTTTGAGCTCGTTTATTGTTTTGTTATCGTTTTGTTTTAGCTAATCTAAAAAACTAATAATTAGAAATAGCTTCAAAGCCTTTAAACATTATTAAGATAGTAAAATTTATTTTTTTCTAAATTCTAGATAACACCGAAAACTTTACTAAAAATCCAAATAAATGTCTTTTTCAATAAAAATTTGTTTTTTATTTTTATTAACAACTTCAATAATAATTCAATTAATCAACAGCGACTGTAGAAAGACCGGATTTTTAGGTTGTGATGAAGACGAGTATAAATGTTGTGATAGTGATGCTATCTGTACAGCAATTAAAAACACAACAACATGTAAAACTGGTGATTGTAAAGCTGTTGGGGAAGGATGTGGGGATAACAACAAAAATTGTTGTGGAGATTTGAATTGCGGAGAAAACAAATTATGTGAATGTCCAGATATAGGAAATAATTGTGTTCAAGATTCGCAATGCTGCGGGAATTATTGCATGGATGATATGAAATGTCATTGAATGAATTGATATATTTTTAAAATTTAATTGAATTTATTTTCCTATTATCTACTAAATATTTCCTTTTGAACAGATAAATAAATTTGATTTTTCTTTATTTATTTATGAAGTAAAGCATTTAGCTAGTGCAAAAGCTTATTCGGCGGCTGGGATTTTCGGCGGCAGCAACTTCAGTAGACCGGACTGATGTACAGCCTTAGGAATTAAATAGCTACGTGTTTTACACCTCCATCTCCAGGGAAATCTATACATCCCTTCTGCCCATCGCTTTTAAAATGCTTTAAGATTGAAAGAAAATAATAGGTGATAACAAAATTGGTGATAACAAAAAACTTTAAGTAATTTTAAGTTATAAAAAATTTAATTAATATTTTTATTATTAGGCATATGATAACTTAAGACTGTTTTTGAAACAGTCTTAAGTTATAAAATTCTACGAAAAACAAATTAGAAAAAATTTCTATTTCACAATTTTTGGTTATTATTATTTTAGCAAGCCCAATCCATAATTTGATTATTTTACCAATTTTAGGTATGTTTACTTAAAAGAAATTTACCAAAATATTGCATTTCATCTAAATGTTTAAAGATTATAAAATTTTAAAATTAAAATTTAATTTTTTTTGCAGAATAAATAAAATATAAAACAATAGCCTTGAATCCAGGCCAAATTTTATCCAAAAATTTTTGCTCGAAATTTGATAGAAAATTAATCAAACTTAATTATAAAATTTGGAAAAGATTTTTATATCAACAAGTTTCCTAAAGTGTTGGGAATTCAGGAAAAAAAGAATTATCAATTTTCCTTTAAAATTAAAAAAGTTATGGCCAAAACAAAGTCGGCGCTAAATTTGCCGCACCCTGTATTTAAATTTTATTTTTAAATTTTTTTCAAAAGTTGATGATTTTTTGCTAAAAATAATTTTTGTTTGCAATCTTTGTTTATTATTTTATAAAATTTTATTTTATATTTCTAAAATACAGTTTATCTCTATGAAAAATACTACAAAATTCAAATATTCAGCTATATCCTAGAGATTCAGTTTTAATGAATTTCGGATAAAATTTGAGCTTAATTTACACATATCAAAATTAATTTTTATATATCAGGTAAAACTCGTATTTCGATTAATTCTTAAGAATTAATTTTTATCATTATTTTGTCATATAAATCTAGAATAAACAAGTCTAGAATAACAGAGCTTACTTTATAAAATAAAATTATATTCAAAATTTAAAGCTCTAGAAAAATTAATTTTTAATTCTTGTTTTGCTTTATGTCAATACCTTTAAACAAAAAAATAAAAATTTTCAATTTTTTCTAAAATTTAAAATTCAATATTTTAATCATGAGGGTAAACTTTGAGCTTTTCTAAAAATATTTTAGAAGGGTGATAAACAAAATATTGCGAATTTAAAAATTATTTATTTTAGCAAAACAATTTTAATAAATTTTATTTTTTATTATACCCACATCAACTTTCATAAAACAAATAAACATTTATGGATTTATTTTATTTAAAAAATTTAAATAATGAATAAATTCCCAAAATTTATTAAATGAAAAAATTTTTTTCTAACATTTCTTAAAATTGTTTTTTAAAATTTTTAAAATAATAATTTAAAAATTAAATTTATTTTATTTAACAATATGTATATTATTATTCTATTATTTTTGAAACAACTTTTATTTTGATTTCCTTTTTTGATTTTGAATAAATTTTATTATTTAAAATCAATCTTTAAAATTAAATTTATTGATAGTAAATCGAAATTAAGAAAAATAAAGTAATTCCTGTTTTAGTTAAGAATAAAGTAGAGCAGCTAGGCTATAGATTTTCTCTAGAAAATTTCGGATCCTAATCCAGATATCCGAAGATTTCCAACTATCTGATAACCTCATTAATTAGAACTTATTTGATTTTCTCAAGTATAAGTTATCTTGAAAATAAAATAAAGATATTAGAAAATTCTAGACAAAAGACAAAATACAAAATTTTTTTACCTTTACTAATATGGACACGATTGGAAATAAATTTTTGTATTTTGTGTTTAGTGATTATATGTACATTTTTGTGGATTATTTTTACATAAATTTATTCTTTACTCTTTTTATATATTTTATGACAATTTATTTAATTTATTTAAAGCTCTGACAAGAATTATTGAATTTCAGGCCTTTCCCCTTAAATAATCTTATCAGGTAAAATACTCCTGTTAAAAAACGCAAAAATGTAAATTTTGTTGAAATAATCGAAAAAATATTTTTCTATTTTATGTTTTTTTTTATAATTTTGTTGGAAAATATATTTCGATTCACAAACGTGTAAAATAAAAAAATTATTAGAAGGGGCAAATATATAAATAAAGTAAATATTTTAGTATTATTTGACTCAATTCGAAGAGATAATTGCTTAACAATTGCTTAATTCAATTTTTACTCAAAACTTTACTTAACAATTCCTCTCTTTTTTAATTGTTTTGATTAGTTTTGCCAAAAAAGTTTATTGTCGCTTAAAAGAATTAATAATTTAAAATAGCTTTAAACTCTTTTCTGAATTTTAGATAACACCAAAAACTTTACTAAAAAATCCTAATAAATGTCTTTTTCCATCAAAATTTGCTTTATATTTTTATTAACAACTTCAATATTAATTCAATTAATCAACAGTGAATGTGTTCGAACAGGATTTCCAAATTGCGATAAAAACAAATGTTGTAATAAGAAGGATGTCTGTACACCAATTAAAAATATAAAAATATGTAAATCGAATAAATGCCAAGGTTTGGGAGAAAAATGTCTAAAAAAGTGTTGTGAAAATTTGATTTGTGGAGAGAACAATTCGTGTAAAAAATGCCAAGCTGTGGGAAAAGATTGTGTTGAAGATTCACAGTGTTGTGGAAATAATTGTGGAGATGATAATAAATGTCATTGAATGAATTGAAAGTATAGTGTTTTAAAATTTAATTGAATTTACTTTTAGTTCTTTTCTTTTTTAAATTAAATTAATTTCCTTTTCTTATTTATTAGATTTACTATGTCCAACAATTTCGTTAATTGTTTTTCATTAAATATTTTTAAATTTGTATACCAAGCTTTAATTTAAAAGAATTCAGTAAAAGACAGTTAATAGAGTAGCTCAAAAACAGTCCAAAAATGGATACTCAGTTTGCAATTTTTAAATTTTTTAAAAATTGGTTCGGGTTTTAAATATATTTTACTGATAGGTTGAATTTTAAAAAATAGACATTCCTGGTTTATGTTTAGATAAGACAAAAGCATATCGAAACAAAAATTCTCGAAAATCGAAAAAAAATAAAAATTATCACCATTGAAAATATACTCTCAAAATTTTGATATTAATTTTTTTTGTCTGGATGTTATTTAGAAAACAAAAATAGATATAAAATGAATAATGAAAAAAATAAAATGAATAATGAATTAAATAAATAATTAAAAAATAGACATTTCTGTTTATGTTTAAAGAAAAAGCATAGCGAAACAAAAAATCTTCGAGAATTTTAAATAAAAAAAAATTAAAAATTATCAATATTGAAAATATACTCTCAAAAATTTGAAATCAGAAAGTATAAAAAATAATCGAATTGAAAAACCAAAATATTTTTTAAAATATTTTGATTTTAAAATTTACAAAAAATTATCTTTTTCGCGATTTTATTTTGTTTAGAGGTGTTGACATAAAACAAAAATAAAATGATAAGAAGATAATAAATAGAGAAAAGATTGGAAAAAAATTAAAAAAAAATTTTGGTACGAGCTTTAAACCAGCGTTTATATTTATTTAAATTTAATTAGTATTTTATTTTAATTAAAGTATTTATTACATACTTTATCAAACTGGGGGATTTTTTACATAATCTCCTATTTTAATTAATTTTCGTAAAAATTTTTTTTCATTTTTCAGATTAGAAAATTAATTAAATATTTAAAAATAGATAAATTTATGATGCGTTTTTCTATTAGTGCCAACCATTTTTATTTATTAAATTAACATTAGTTATATTTAAAATAAAATTAGATACATATAAGATGAATTATAAAATAAATTGTTTAAATTGTTGTTTTTTAAAAACCATCAAAATTAATTAATTTAATTACTCAAAATATTCTGGATATACTTCTTCTATATTTTACATTTTTCCCAAAACGGATTTTTTAGTCGCAAAAAGTGCTATGCTTTAACACAAACCGAATTGACACATTTAAAACCTTCACAACACTTTTGATTCGGTATACCAGTGTCAACACATTTAATTCCTTGATGAATACAAGGAACTGCAAAAAGAAAATTTTTTAAATTAAAATAGAAAACTTTACCAGCTGGACATCCACCACAATTAACATAATTAAATAAAAATAAAGTTAAAAATATAAAGAGAAAAATTTTAATGGTTAATGTCGACATTTTTTAAATTTTATATTTCTAATTTTAAAAATATTTTAATTAAATTTTATACCAAGAGATATTTAGTTATTATAAAATATATGTAATCAACTATAGCAATCCTTTGACTCACGTACCAAAATTCTTGCTCATATCCTGTACTCTTTCTTGGTCGATCAAAATCAAATTTTCCTAGCACCTCTTCCCAATAGATAACTTACTTCCCCCAGATAATAACTAAATTTAAAACGAATCTAAAATCCATTTAAATTTGCGTTACATAAATTTGAGGTAAGACGGCAATAATTTTTAAGAACAATATTTTAAAATAAAAATTTAATTAATTAAAATGATTTATTGCTTAACTCACCCTAACTGAATTTATATTGTCTAATCTGCACTTTTCACTTTAAGAATTTCCAAATAAACATCAAACAATCCTTTACTTCAAATCTTATCTATAATATTTAAACAACTGGATATTCTAGAGGTAAAAGCTAAGTTTAAAGCATTTATTTTCTATTTTTGTAAATAAATGAGAATTTAGCTAAAATTTAAATTTTATTTTTTGCTAAAATTTATTATTTTTGTTTATTCACATTAAAAACAAAATTCAAAAGCTCATGATTTATCAAATTAATGAAAAATTAAATTAATTTTCTTTATTTATTGACTATTGTGAAATCTAACAGACTTTTCTAAAACAAGTAAAAAATCATTTTTATATTTTTAATATCCATAAACCAAAATTTCCTTTTCTTTGAGTACCGATTTGAGAACAGCTAAAATTTTTCTCGTTAATTGACCGTTCTTGTGTTGTGCTTTTTTTAAAAATAACAGTTTTGCCAAAATATTTCTTTAAAAAATTTTCCCATAAGATTTCATACAGATTTCTTAGTTTTTGGACAATGCTTTTTTGAACGTTGGGAAAAGTTGAAATTTTGCGAGCGCCGAATCTTTTGGAAAAGGTACAATAATATTTAAAAATTTAAACGAAAATAAAGTTATGATGAAATGAATAGTGCCCGGTTACTTTTGGGTCACAATGTAAATTCTTTCTCGTCAAGTTCATACTATGTAGTTATTATTTTTACAACTCAAAAGAAATAAACACAGTCGAATTCTAATACAAAATTGTGTTTTGGATATTGACAGTTCAGATGCTTCTTTAATTGGTAAAAATTATTCAAAATTTAACCAAAAAATTACATATTATTAAAAATACAATGGATAACATACCTGTCCGATCAACTGAAAATGCTGGTTCGCTCCTAGCCGCCTTTTGCATTAGCTGAAGAAATTGTTATAGCTCAGCTTTACTATCTATACATATAATATTTTCCTTCCTCTAAATATTTGAATTAATTAGGGTTTATATGTATTTGAATTAGTCATGTTATCTTTAAAATAAAATAAAGATACCTATTAGAAAATTCTAAACAAAAGCAAAATTCCTTTGTTTAATTTATCGAGATATTGTCGAGTAAATTTTAAAAATAAATTTAAAATATATTATGTATGAAAGAAGTGATAGGTACTTATGAAGATGGAGGTGCCCTTTCTGCGGACTTTTCCTTTAAATTTTTCTTTTTTAATGTTTTGGTTGTCTTGCTTGCAGCAAGTTTTGCTTGTAGCAACAAACTGTCAAAGGCTAATTCTTATGCAATTTGAAAACAATTAATTTAAACATTATAAACGTAAAATTGTTTCAATCAATGAAACATTTTACTTTAACTAAATTCCAAACTCTGTCCCTAAATTCCAAACCTTGTCCCCCCACCCCCAATAATTTTCCTAACCTATATTGTACGGTCAGATTTTCTTCCCTGTGAATATGCAAACAAGACTTGATAAAGACATTTTTACCTTGATAGTTGTATAACCTCCAAATTTAAGGGTCCGTTTTCTATGAATAAGACCAAGCTTTCTAGCCTCGCATCAAAATATTAGTCGTTTAAACGTAGATTTTCCAGAAGATGCTAATATTTGAAATTTTTCAGTTGTTCAATATTTTTAAATATAAATAGGAATGTAATGTTTTTACACAGAAATTTATAATGTTATACACCAAATCAATTTTTTCAATTATTTTTTTGTGTAACATTGTTTTCTAAGGCAAAATATAAGTGTATGACTATAAAATTAATCTTCTCTTTATCAATGTGCCTTGTTTGAATATGTCACAGGGCAAATAGAAGGAAGGAGAGGAAGAAAATCTGACCATTATGTACAAGCTTAGGTAAGAAAAATAATAGGGGGAGGGCCATTGACAGTTAGTTGCTACAAGTAAAACATTTAAATAAGGGAAGAAAAGTCCGCAAAAAAAGTCCGCAGAAAGGGCACCTCCATCTTCATAAGTACCAAGTGATAAATTTATTTTGTATAATTTTATGTAATCTTTTACCTTTACTAATATGGACATTATTGGAAATAAATATTTGTATTTTGTGTTTAGGGATTATATGTACATTTTTGTGGATTATTTTTACAAAAATTTATTCTTTACTCTTTTTTATATTTATTTTATGACAATTTATTTAATTTATTTAAAGCTCTGACAAGAATTATTGAATTTCAGGCCTTTCCCCTTAAATAATCTTATCACGTGAAATACTCCAACAAAATAGTCATATGTTAAAAAACGCAAAAATGTAAAAAATATCTCTCTATTATATTTTGTTGAATTTTGTTGGAAAATATATTTCGATTATGCCTGAAATTAACACATGATATGAGCTTAAAAAAAATAAAAATATTGTTAATTTATTCATAAACGTGTAAAAATGGCAAAATTATTAGAAGGCGCAAATATGGTAGTATAAATAAAGAAAATATTTTAGGGTTATTCGACTCAATTCGAAGAGATAATAACTACAAAATTATTTAAATACAATTGCTTATTTCAATTTTTACTCAAAACTTTATTTAGCAATCCTCATCCTTTTTTAATTTTTAAAAGACTAAAATTTTTTAACAAAAAATTTTGTTAGCTATACATATTTATTTAAACTTGTTTTAAAAACATTATCTTCATATTGTTTTTAATTAAAAATAATTAAATTTTAATTACCACTTAGTTATTCTCTAGCATTAAGGGTTCCTATCAAGGATGGTGGTTCCGGGGAAATCTCCGGATATCCGAACCGAAATTTTCGGAGATCCGAGGTTTTTTCGGTTCCGGATACCCGAAACCGCCAACCTTAGTTCCTATATCGAGTTTTTAATATAACTATAAGGAGTTTTGTATTCCTTTATAAAGAGAGGAATCAAGGAGAGAAATGAGAAATATTTAATATAGCAGCTCTTTTGTAAAAATTAATTATTTAATTTACCTAAAATTCACTTAAAATTAAAATAATTTTTTTCTTAGAATTTAAATAAATTCAAAAAATGTCTCCAATTAATATATTTCTCTTTATATTTTCAACTTGATTATTATTTAATTATGTCGCCAATAAATCCAATAAATGTATTGGTGAAGGGAAAAGTTGTATAAATGACGACCATAATGCGAATCCATGTTGTCAAAAACCAAAGAAATTATATTGCGTAGAAGATGTAAATGCAAAGGGTTATAAATGTTCAAAACAATCCTGTACTTACAAAGGGAATTGTGGTAAAAATGGTGGAAGTTGTTGCTATGGCTCTAAATGTAATAAATATGGGAAATGTCAAACATGTGCTGCTGGAGCATCTAGTTGCTCGACCTTTCCGTGTTGTGTTGGAACATGTGAGGATGGTTTTTGTCCCTAAAGGCTAACTCAATTTTGAAAGTTAGAAAATGACTTAGAAAACGAAATTTAAAAGAGAATTATTTTCTCGATAATACAAATTAATTTTTAAATATTTTATTTTAGTTAAAATTTGAATAAATAAATTTATAGTTTTTTTCAACTTTTTTAATTTAAAATTAAATTTAATAGAGATTTGAAATTATGAAAAATCTACATATTTTATTAACCGATTTTTGTGTGTAATATCTTTAATAGATTTAGAAAACCCCAAATAAAATAATTATATTTTATTATTATTAGACTAATTTTAAAACCCCCAATCTTTTACCAATTTAATTATTTAAATATTATCCCATTCATCATATGAATGTTCTCTAACTGGCTTCTTGTCAGCTTTATTATTTAAAATTTGTTGCCGTTCTTGTTGTGGTATTGGACTTTTACTTTCAGAAATACTTGATTGCTAAAATTATTTTGAATTAAATTTAAATTTTAAGAAAATCTGTTCTGTATGGGGCTAATTTGCAACAGAATTACTAAATATTTTAAAGCCTTTATCTTTTTAATTTTGTGAGGAGAAGAAACTTTTTATTATGTATATCTGATCTTATTTTAACTTAAGTGGCATTATTTATATCCCAATAACGTAATTATTAAATTATAAAAAATAAATATTAAATTACCTGCTCCTTTTCAAATTGCCAAGCTTCTAAATCACGCAAAGTCATTTGAACATAAGAAGCCATCTAAAAGTAGTATTTTTTTTAATTCTAAAAAAATCTATTTAAATTACATAATGTTGCTCCTCCATTCTTAAATATTTATTTAACATTTCTAAAGCAATTTCTTTTAATTCTGCCAAATTTAAAGCTTCACATTCCCCTACTAATTTAGCTAATTCATCTGGGAGTGAAGGAAGTGCTTAGAAAATTTTTTAAAATTTTCTAAAGAAAAAATTAATTTTTTTTACCTAAAGACCCAACAAATCTCTCCTTTTTAAACCTCAAATAAGCCAAAATATGTCTAAAAGTTTTTGAATCAGAATCAATAAAAACATTTCCTGCTCTATCTGTTGAAATTAAACGAACAGCTCCTGGTCTAAACCAATCGGCTAATTTACTTGAAGAATAATTTTTATTTAAATTATTTTTAGAAGTACCGTATTTCCTATATTAGAGCCCCACCCTCTGTTAGAGCCCCACCCTCTAATACAGCCCCACTTTGGAGGATAGTTGAAAAATAGAGCCCCACCCTCAATTAGAGCCCCACCCCAAATACAGCCCCACCTAAAAAATATTAGAGGAAAAAAATACCCCAATAACTTTTTAGATGTATTAAGAGAGTTAAGGAAATAAAGGGGGATATCGATGATATCGTGATCATGGAGGAGGAGGGATCATGGGGATATAGGGATGAAAACGAGGAGATAATCCCGATATCCGTCAAAATAACCTAATATCGCCTATATTCCCTCTTATAATCACTCCTATTATCTCCAAAATCTAATCCACTTGACGATAATTCGCGAGATTATTAGAGATCTATTAGGGATCTCGCTTAAAATCAGTGATTTTAAGCGAGATCCCTAATAGATATCCCTTAAAATCCACTTTTATACCTCTGATCCATCGATGTCAAATACTAGTCCCCTAACATTTCCTTTAATCCGTCCAAATCTACCAATAGTTAATAATTAATTTAGCTCTCATTGAACTATTTTATTTTTCTTGAAAAATCGAAAAATAATCGATTCTCTTTCGATATTTTGCGGTTCAACACCAAACCTCCGGCTTATCTCTAGTTGCAATGGATAGTTAATAAATGGGATTTTATCTCAAAAGAGGGTTGAAAAATAGAGCCCCACCCTCAATTAGAGCCCCACCCTTTAATACACCCCCACCTTGGAGGATAGTTGAAAAATAGAGCCCCATGGGGCTCTAATATAGGAAATACGGTACTCAATTACCTTCTAGGATCTGCCAACATATCACTTCTACGAACCTGCAAAATTACTAACATAAATTTATTTTTCTTATGAATACTTTATTTCATACATATAATGCCCACATATACATATATTTATTTTGGCCATTATTTGTGGGCATTATTGGACTGGTCTATTATGTATATGTTGCATTTAAAACAGAAAATGCTTAATTAATCGGCTAGATTTATTTCGGGAGCTAGTTCGTCCAAAAATATTTATACACTCTTATAAGTATTTACAACATATTCCTCAACTTTTCCAGAATAAAATTATTTTTTTATCTCTCAATTATAAAGGCAAAATTGAATTTGCTTTTTATTATAAAACTTAATTCAAATCTATTCAATTGTGTATAAATAAACTATATATTTAAAAAATTTTTCACCGTATATTTTTTGCCTCCAACATTTATATTCTAAATTAAAAAAATATTTTTCTAAATTAATTATTTCTTGCCAAAATATCATCTGTGTGAACTCTCCCATTTTGAATTACACGTGTTCCATTTCCATATCCATGCATTGCTCGGCGTTCTGTCCCCAAAGTTCGGAGAATACTTCCACTTCCATAATAAGGTATTCCGCTACCTTCGTTTTCCTCTCCGAATTTAATTGAGGAACTCTTTAAAAAATTTAGAAAAATTTTGGAATGATATTGGGGATAAAATAAAAAAAATTTTCTTATTTACCATGATTGGTAGAAATTTTGAAAAAATTTACTAAATAGATTTATTTAAATTTAAAATTTTTATTTTCTATCAATGAATGCTTGCTCAATTTAAATTTTTATGGAAAAATAAAAGAATTCTGCCTACCAATTTTTCTTTAAATTTCTTTTTATTTCCTTTAAATTATTTTTTGTGTTCCTAAAAAATAATTTGTTATTAAATTTTATATAGAAATTCCAGCTGTGCCAAAAATAGAAAAAAATGTTCAGAATTTTTAGTTTTAACAATATTCTTTTGAAAATATTAGAGAGGAAATACGTATTATTTTAAAATAATAAAGGGACTAGTTGGAAATATTTTTTGAAATTAATTTTAAAACAAGACAATAATGTTGTTAATCACAATACTTGTTAATTGGATGTTTAATATCAGTAATTTATTAAAATTGCCTAGATTAATTAACGGATTTTGTTTATTCATATTTTTGCAATGAAACTACATATTTTTGCAACTAAATAGAGATGTTTGTAAAGGTGTCAGAAACCAGAAGAGTCGGAAAGCGAGTTCGAATTATTCCAACAAGCAAGACAGAGTATATAAAAGCTCGATACTCAATGACTTTATTCAACCTTAAATCCAATCCTTATATCATTCAACGTTCTTTTCTTCTGAATCATCAACCTGAATTTGGTCGGGATGCGAATTTGCAATTCAAACACTCTTGGAATGTTGATTGCCTCCTCCATCATTCGGTGCATTTCAATTCTTCTGGTTTTCGGATTTGTTGTTCAATGTGAAGAAGTCGGAATAGGCAAGCATGTGTTGGTTAACGAGACAATTATTGAGCTCAAGGACAATACGAGGATTGCCGAAAACGACACGGATCTTGAACAATACAGGAAGCTGCCGGGAGCTTGTGATGTCACTTTGGACAACGATGGAAATATGTAAATATTTTTACATTAATTTATTTAAATCCCCTCATTTAACAGCATTCTTTGGTACTCCAAAAATTCCAGCACGACTGAGTTTGGCTGCTCCATTGATTTGGTTACAAAGAATGAAGGTCAAATCTCAATGGAATTTGGAATCTCACACTCTGGCAATCTATCCGATTGTATCACGAAAGAAAATCAAGTCCCGGATAATTTGTAAATAAATTTTGATTTACGAAATTAAATTTATTTAATTTAGCATATCGTTCTCCTACAGCAATAAAGGAGGTGAATTCGAAGAACTTAAAAATGGCCCTAAAACAGGTGATGACAGTGACTGTAGTGATAAGAATATCTGCATTGCTCATGGAGGCGCTTGCAGAAATTCAACAGCTTTCTATTCTGTTGGATGGATGCCAGATCAATCAGTTTTAACCGAAAGCTTTACTTACTCTTTACAGCCAGGTAAAAAAATTTATAAACGTAGTATTTTTTTATGATTTAGTTGGAGATGTACATTACATATATGTGATGGGCAGTATGAAGAACGAGACATTAACACTTTTGATTAAAGAATTAGAATTACGCTTTCCTGAAGTAGATGTTCGGTTAGAACATATTTGCTACAAAAAGGAAAAACTTCAAAAGGCCGAAGAATGGCAGATTGTGGACAATAATTTTATCAAGGATACCAAAAATCAAAACTTCACCCATCTCTTCACTTTCCATATTATGCCAATAAAGGCGATGCGTCAAAGTATGCAAAACTTTTGGGGAGACTGTAAGAACAATGAGCCAAAACCAGGCTGTGATAAAGAAGCAACATTGTTGAAATGTGACAAAATGTTCATTAAATTTGTAAGGAACTTTCCTTTTTATCAAATATGTAAAATAAAAATATTTTAAGGACAAAGAACACTTCAAAATTCTTGTTCCGAATGTTTTAGTAGCAGAAAATGGCACTTCAACAGATGGGAACAAAAATTTGTCTGTTTCAACAACACAAAATATGGACACTACAAGTGAATTAGTAGACACTACAACTGCTAACGGCATAGAGGTTACAAAGACGTTGCCTACTATCGATACGAAGATGCCGTCTGCTACCGAGCCTTCAAAAATGTCTACAACTACCATTGTGTTTATTATTTCTGGCATTGTAGTTTTGTGAGTTTTCTTGGATAAAATTCAATCTACTTATTTTAAATTTTCAGGGTTTTTGTAAGCATTGTTGTTGTTCTGTTTTGCACTTTGTCTCGAGGAAAGAAAGAAGAAGAAAACGGACAAAGTAAACAAGAAGAAAGTCAATACAGTAATCCACATTCAACTCAATCAACTACAAACGATTCTACAACAGACTCCATTGTTGACGTTGAAATGCCACCTACTGCTACTACCGAAGAAAAAACTGAAGAACGAACAGAAGAAAAACCAGACTTCAACGATGTCGACACTGTTGAGAATACACAAATCGAGCCGGGAGAACCTTCTAATGCCAAAACTGGAGTTGCAGTTCCTAACTCTTTTGTTGATATGGAGGAAGGCATTGGAGCTAAGCACGACAACGATTTTTCTGTAAAATCTGACGTAACTGTTCCTGATACTTTGATTAGCACAAATACTGTCCATGAAGACCTCGTTGTTGCAGAAGATCCGATTATTCATAATGCAAAATCTGGCGTGGAAGTTCCTGATAGTGTTAATGAAGATTAATATAGAAGTGGAAGAATAATAGATATATAAATTAGTTGATAGTACAGTTTTGTTGATATGTAATCTGTATGTATGCAAAAATTTGTTGTATTTCATTTATGCTGTTATGTACTGTGTAAATAAATTTGGTAATTTTTAATTTCGTATTACAATTTTTTTCTTACTCAATTTCATTATTTGCTTAAGACATCCAAACAGTAAAATGTGTATATTGTTTTATTCCAATTTCTAAATAGTAGTTAGAATGAAGACAATAATTTAATGGAATAATGTATTTAAGAACTATTTCAAGTTCTTAATCTAAAATTTTACCTGCTTGTCTAAAAATGGAAATTTTTGCCTTCAATTTTTTGTCTATCACACTCTTAAACCTTAATCTAATTACTCACATTTTAATGTCCAATTACTTCACCCTGAAACAGAGCTTTTTCGAAAGAAAAATCCTTTGGAAATATAAAAAAGTACAATTCGGGGCTGAGCGTTATGGAGTTTGACGTCCGTTTTTGGCCGATTTTTGTTTTTTACACCCATATGTATTGATGGCAATTTTTTAAATAGAATGTGGGAGCGAATACATTATCAAACTCGGATTCGAATAGTGTTGGAGTGGAAGCCACAAAACAAAAAACTGAAAAGTAAAGAAGAATGAGGTTGTATGAATTGAGGTATATCGAATGATTTACATGTATTGAGGTGAATTTGAGGGATATCGGAAGATTTGGATGGATCAAGAGGGGTAAGGGGGATATCAGGTGATTTGGAGTTTTCAGGTGACAATTTAGTTTTTTTGTAAACTAAGTTGTTAATAAAAGTGGGGATTTTTTACTCATCTGATAGAGGATAAATTAATCAGTAGTTTCTTTCTATAAACCGTAAAATTAGAAAGATAATTTGAAGAAAGGAATGTGTGCGTTTGGTCCTATCTCTTTTTCCGGCACTGTAATTGGATAATATTGTTTAGTTAATTTTATTAAATAACATGTATGATGAGACTGACTTCGCGCCATGTCGAACAGTTCTGATCTGCAACAATTCAAGAAAAAGTAGGAGAGTAGACTTAATTATTATTAGACAATGTAATCATATAAAAGCTAAACATTCTTCCAAATCATTCTCAATTCCTACATCGTTCAACGTTCATTTCTTCTGAATCGGCAGCTTCAATTTAATCGTGATGCGAATTTGCAATTCAAACACTGTTGGAATGGTGTCTGCCTCCTCCATCGTTCTGTGCATTTCAATTCTTCTGGTTTTCGGATTTGTTGTTCAATGTGAAGTCGTCGGACTTGGCAAGCATGTGTTGGTTAACGAGACAATTATTGAGCTCAAGAACAATACGAGGATTGCCGAAAACGACACGGATCTCGAACAATACAGGAAGCTGGAGGGCGCTTGTGATGTCACTTTGGACAATGAGGGAAATAGGTAAATATTTTTACATTAATTTATTTAAATCCCCTCATTTAACAGCATTCTTTGGTACTCCAAAAATTCCAGCACGACTGAGTTTGGCTGCTCTGTTGATTTGGTTACAAAGAATGAAGGGCAAATCTTATTGGAATTTGGTATCTTGCACTCTGGCAATCTAGCCGAATGTATCACGAATGAAAATTCCGTCCCGGATAATTTGTATATAAATTTTACTTTGTAAAATAAAATTTATTTTCTTTAGCATATCATTTTCCTACAGCATGAATGGAAGTTTATTCGAAGAACTCAAAAATGGACCTCAAGAAGGCAAAGTCGGTGACTGTAGTAATGAAACTGAGTGCAGGAACAGAGGAGGCGTTTGCAGAAACACAACAGCCTTCTACTCTGTTGGATGGATGCCAGATAAAGGAAGCTTCTATTATTTTTTGCAGCCCGGTAATAGAATACGTTCCTATACAAAATAAATTTTTAATACTTTAGTTGGCAATGTAGCTACTAATGTATTTAAGATGAAGGATGCACAGGATACAACATTCAATCTTACGATTAAAGGAACAGAGTTTAGCTTTCCTTCAAAAGGACATCAGCATAATCCTAATTCGTGCTACAAGAAGGAAAAACTTCGCAAGGCAGAAGAATGGAAGATTGTGGACAGTAATTACAACAATCAAGACTTCACCCATTTATTCACTTTCAACATTATGCCAGTAGAAGCGATGCGACAAAGTTTGCAGGACATTTATGCAATGTGTAGAAAAAGTCGGACTGCTGGCTGTAAAGAGCACGCAACATTGCTTAAATGTGACAAGATATTCGTTAAATTCGTAAGCAAAACACTTGATTCGAAATCAAAAATTATTTTTAGGACAAAGAGTACTTTAGAGTGCTTGTTCCTGATATTACAACAGCTGAGCAAGCTGTAAGTTTCGAGATATATTAAGCTAGATAAAGAGCTAGAAAATAGTTTAAATATTTAAGGGTAAAACAACTCGTCTTGCTACCACGAAAGATGGAAACACTACAAATGATAAGGAGTCAACTCGAAATATAGGCACAACTTCTGTTGCCACGAATCCAAATATAGGGTCTTCGGAAACTACAAATGATCAGAACACGACAAAGGATAAAGTAAACACAAGAAAAGTCTTCACAATAACCCCAAAGACTACTGTGGCTACAGGAATGGCTTCAGGGACTATTATTCTAATCATCCTTGGAATTTTAATATTGTAAGTTAAATTGGGGAGGGGGACAACATTAAAATTAAATTAATAAACTTTCAGTGTTACAATAATCATCGGCCTTCTAATATGGTTCTTTGTATTCCATGGCAAAGATAAAAAGGAGGGTAAGAAAGATAAAGAAGAATTTCCTCCTCCATTAAATGCTACAAAAAGTAATAGAGACTCTACCATTGGAGAGAAAGATCATTCGAAAGAGGATTCGAGAGAGGATTCTATTGTCGATAAAACGCAAAGTGACCCTACTGAGGAGAGAAATGATCCATCTACAGTTGTTGAAACGCAAGTTGACCATGCTGAATCGTTGAATAATCCATCCACGGTTGTTGGTACACAATTAGATTTAGATGTCAAAGCTGGTGCTGAAGTTCCCGATAGTATTGAATATGATTAGAAGGATGTAAAGGAATAAATATATTTTTTGATAGAAAATTGTTTTTTGTGATATTATTAGATTTTGTATTTGTACTTTTAAATATTGAAATTTTTTGTTAGTAAACCCAAAATTATTAAAATAGTCAACATATTTTTTGTTCATATTTTTGAACATTATTATTCACATTTCCTAAGGGATTATTTAAAATCGAAGCATGTATTTTACAAAGGGTTTAATTTAGGGTATAAATTATGTTTAAATTTGGAAAATAAAGATATGTAAGAAAAAGTCCAGAATAAGTAAAATCATAAAACGTTTTTTTTTTAAATGAATTTTAGAAAATTATCTTGATATTCGGGAAAATTCAATTCTAAAATGTTCGACCGATAAACTTTTCTTTAATTTCATTTTTATTGATGATTTGAATCGATGCTAATGTGGGATAAAATAAAACAATGTTTAGGGATTAAATATTTTCTTCAAAAATTTGCGGGTGCTTAAACTCTCTTTACGGAGTGTACTTGACATAAAACGATAAGTCTTAAGAAAATAATTAAAATGTTAAATTTGACCCAAAAAGGTTACAAATGGTTTTAGGTCTGTAAGGTAGAGAAAGTTTATAGTATGTTCTGCAACTCAAAGACTATGAGACATCATACAGTACAACTGATTTTTTAACCCTAAAAATTTATATAAAATCATTAGCATATCCTTTCTTAAGCTTGGTAAAATATTTGAATGTTTTTACGAAAAGCTGGAAAAGTACAAAAATTTCATTGAATTTTAATTATTTATAATTTCGTTGTAGATTAATCAAACTCCACAAGACTGAGTATATAAAAGCTCGATACTCTATAAATTTGCCCATTATCAAATCCAATTCTTACACCGTCCTACGTTCTTTTCTTCTGAATCAACAACCTGAATTCGGTCGGGATGCGAATTTTCACTTCAACCACTCCTCTTGGAATGTTGTCTGCCACCTCCATCATTCGGTGCATTTCAATTCTTTTGGTTTTCGGATTTGTTGTTCAATGTGAAGAAGTCGGACTTGGCAAGCATGTGTTGGTTAACGAGACGATTATTGAGCTCAAAGACAATACGAGGATTGCCGAAAACGACACGGATCTTGAACAATACAGGAAGCTGCCGGGAGCTTGTGATGTCACCTTGGACAACGATGGAAATTTGTAAATATTTTTACATTAATTTATTTAAATCCCCTCATTTAACAGCATTCTTTGGTACTCCAAAAATTCCAACACGACCGAGTTTGGCTGTTCTGTTGATTTGGTTACAACGAAAGAAGAGCAAATCTTAATGGAATTTGGAATCGAACACTCTGGTAATTTATCCGATTGTTTCATGGAACAGGCAAATGCTGTCCCAGACAATATGTATGTACATATATAACTATTCAAAATATAAAAGATTTATTTAGGATATCGTTTGCCTACAGCATGAAAGTGAGTGAATTCGACGAACTCAAAGATGGTCCCAAATTTGGTAATAGCAGTGATTGTAGTGATAAGATAACATGCGAGAGGCTTGAGAGTGATTGTCTGAAATCAACAACGTTTTACTCTGCTGGATGGGTGTTTAAAAATTCAGAATATCTATACTTTTTTATGCCCGGTAGCTAACTTTTTAACACGTTTTATACATATATTTTAAAATTTAGTTGGGTATCCAAATTATTATTACATTGCCAGACAGAGTGTATCCCCATACAAGCTTATGATTAAAGGGCTAGAATTCCGCTTCATTTCAGATGAGGATGTATTTTATTTTTCCGATTCAGAGTGCTACAAGAAGGAAAAACATCTCAAAGCCGTAAAGTGGGAGATTGTGGACAATAATTACAACAACAACACCAACGATAAAAACTTCACCCATCTCTTCACTTTCCATATTATGCCAATAAAAGCGATGCGAGAAAGTATGCAGAATTTTTGGGCAAGTTGTAAGAACAATGGGACGAAACCAGGATGTGATAAGGACGCAACATTGTTGAAATGTGACAAGATGTTCATTCGATTTGTAAGGAAATTTCCTCTTTTCTAATAAATTAAAACTGTTTTAAGGACAAAGACCACTTCAGAATTCTTGTTCCGGATGTTCCTACGATAGAAAAAGGCAATTCAACAGATGGCAACGAAACTTTGGATGTCTCAACAACACAATCTCTAAAAATCATCACTACAGAAGAGGTAGACACTACTAGTGATGATGTAGAAGTTACGAGGATTCCAACTGCTACAGAGTCTTCAGGAATGTCTAAAATTATCATTGTTGTGATTATTTGTGGCATTGTAGTTTTGTGAGTTTTCTTGGATAAATTCACATCTATTTCAAATTTTCAGGTGTTTGACAAGTTTTGTTTGCGTTCTGATTTGTATTCTGTTTCGAGGAGAAAAAGAAGAAGAAAAAGAAAGTGAAGACACTAAATACAGTCAAGGCACTAATATACGTTCAACTCAATCAACTACAAATAAACCTACAAAGGACTCCAATGTTGACGTTGAAATGCCTTCCCATGTATCTGGAAAGGAACAGAAAGGAGAAGAAAAATCCTTTAATGATGCTTCTACAGTCGTCGAAACTCAATATCAAGACTTTAACGATGTTAACTCTGTTGTGGCTACACAAATGGAAACGGAAGAAGCTTCTGACCTCAAAACTTGTATTGCACTTCCTGATACTTTTTCTGACACAAAAACTTGTATTGAAGTAAAGCACAACAACGATTTTTCTGTAAAATCTGACAAGACTGTTCCTGATGCTTTGATTAGCAAAAATACTGTTCATGAGGACCCCGTTGGGAAAGAAGATCCGCTTATTCATAATACACAATCTGACGTTGAAATTACTGATAGCGTTAATGAGGGTAATAAAGAAGTGGAAGAATAATATATAAATTAGTGAATATATTTTTGTTGTTGTTACATATTTTTTGTTGATATTGTTGTGAATTTTTGTTGAATTTTATTTCAGCTATTACCTAAATAAATTTTGGAATTTTGAATTTAGTCATTTCTCTCTTTTCTTCCTCATTTTGACTTTATTTGGGACTGGGCCGTTTTGGCGCGAGCTTATAAGATAGCGAGTTCGTTATCAAAAATGATAAAATTTTGCAATAATAACTCTCGTACCTTTATCTAAGTTCTCCAAAAATTTAAGAATTTTTGATCAAGAATTTCGGAAAGTGTGGCCAAAAATGTTGATTTTCTGAAAAATGCCTTATTTTTCGAGGTCTATCGACTATAACTTCAGAAATATTTGATGAAAAATTCTGAAATTTCTGGAGCAGGTAGCCAAGGATGTTTAAGAAATTTGATAAAATTTTTATGAAGTTAGGTCTCGCATAACTACCACTTTTTTGTTCTCGCGCCAAAACGGCCCGGCGCCAAAACGACCCCAACTCCTTTGGATCCAATCAGTTAAAAAATCTTGCGTTGTCTCAATTCTTAAGTGAGACTAGAATTAATATGTACAAGGATTTATGGAATATAAATATGAAAAAATGCAAAAAACTGTAGGTTTAAATCTAAAATTTGTGTCTAATGTAAAATAGGAAATTTTTGCCTTAGACTTACTGTCTTTTGACCTCAGAATTAACAAAATTTATTTAACTAGTATTCGGCGCCGTTCGGCACTACCAATTTTTCAAATTTTCAAATCACGCCAAACGCCAAAATCGGCCAAAAACAACGCCATGACGCACAGCCCTGGTCGGTATCCTCTTATTTTACAAATAGTAACAGTACCTTTTGTTACTACTGAAATTGGCATTGAAAAAATTCATTTAACTAACAATACATTTAGCACTATTTTAGATTGTGGAATTGTCTCACTGTAGAGTCTTCTTAATATTAGATAATAAAATTTAAAATTTTTGTTCTATTTTTAATTTAGCCGATTAAAGATTTGATTAAACTTATGATTTAAAAGCTTGAGTTTGTGAATGCTGGCTGAAAGATTTTGACATTTTTGACAAAATTTTTCAATGAAGGGGTTATTAAAATAAGGCAGCGCATTTTCCGGTATTTTTAAGTCGTTGAAAAATCCAAAAACTGACAAAAATTAATGGGTAAAAGCATGTTCTTATTTGTTTATGAATCCATCCAACTTAACATGAATTATCATATAAGTACTACATTCAATTCTGTATTAATCGAACACCCTAAACATACATACTATAAAAGCTAAATATTCTACCAAATCATTCTCCAATTCCTACATAGATCAACGTTCTTTTCTTCTTAATCAACGTCAATTCAGTTGGGATTCGAGTTTTCATTTTAAACAACTTCAAATGGTCTCTGCCTCCTCCATCATTCTGTGCATTTCAATTTTTTTGGTTTTCGGATTTGTTGTTCAATGTGAAGAAGTCGGACTAGGCAAGCATGTTTTGGTTAACGAGACAATTATTGAGCTCAAGAACAATACGAGGATTGCCGAAAACGACACGGATCTTGAACAATACAGGAAGCTGGAGGGCGCTTGTGATGTCACTTTGGACAATGAGGGAAATATGTAAATATTTTTACATTAATTTATTTAAATCCCCTCATTTAACAGCATTCTTTCGTACTCCAAAAATTCCAGCACGACTGAGTTTGGCTGTTCTGTTGATTTGGTTACAAAGAATGAAGGTCAAATCTTATTGGAATTCGGTATCTCACACTCTGGTAATCTATCCGAATGTATCACGCGGGATACAAATACTGCGTTCCCAAATAATATGTATAATATACCTAACTTTATTAAAATATAAAATTTATTTAATTCAGAATATCGTTTTCCTACAGCATGAATGGAAGTGAATTCGAAGAACTCAAAAATGGTCCTAAAACAGGGGATAACAGTGACTGTAGTAATAAGGATAACTGCATTGCTCAAAGAGGCGTTTGCAGGAATTCGACAGCCTTCTATTCTGTTAGATGGATTCCAAGATTAGATCCATTATTTTCAACTGGAAGCTTTACCTACTTTTTACAACCAGGTAAAGAAATTCTATTAACGTTTTATTTTTTTATAATTTAGTTGGTGATGTAAATGGTATACATGCTGTAGCTAGTATGAACGAGACATTCAAACTTCTGATTAAAGAAATAGAATTGCGCTTTCCTGTAGTGGATAAACGGCTAGAATATATTTGCTACAAGAAAGTTAAACTTCAAAAGGCCGAAGAATGGCAGATTGTGGACGATAATTACATCAAGGATACCAACCATCAAAATTTCACCTATCTCTTTACTTTCAACATTATGCCAGTAAAGGCGATGCGACAAAGCTTTCAGGATATTTATGGAAATTGTGATAAGCATCCAGAAAATCCGGGTTGTGATAAGGATGCAAGCATGCAAAAATGTGACAGAATATTCATTCGATTCGTAAGCAAAATTTTGTAATTTCTCCATACAAAATATATTTTAGGACAAAGAACACTTCAGAATGCTTGTTCCTGTCCAAACTGTAAGTTTCAGATATTTAAGTTTAGATATGAAGAGCAAAGGTGGGTCGGAACTGACGAAGGTGTCGGAAATCGGAACTGTCGGAAATCGGGAATGACTCAAAAGGCGGAAATCGCAAATCAAAATTTTTTCGTAAATCGGAAGGGAAAACGTCGAAAATCGGAATTCCGACCCACCTTTGATGAAGAATTTAAATATTTAAGAGTACAACGACTCAATCTACGAAAGGAGAAAGCACTACTACAGGGGAAGAAACAGATGATTATTATGAAACGACTACAAGAAAAGGCTTCACAAAATATCCAAAGACTTCAGAATTGGGAACGTTTACTATTGTTTTAATTACTATCGGAATTTTAATATGGTAAGTTTAAATTGGGAGGATTAAAGAGCAATAATAATTTAAATAATTTTCAGTATTACAATATTCATCGGCATTCTAATATTCTTCGTGTTTTGTGTGTTCTGTGGCAAGGATAAAAAGAAAAATAAGCCAAATGAAGAAGAAAATTCTCCTTATACGCCTATTACAGAAACTAATAAAGACTTTGCTATTGGAGAGAAAGGAGTCCATTCAAAGGGAGATTCGAAGAATTTAAAGGGAGATTCTTCTACAGTTGTTGAAACACAAATTGACCCTACAGAATCGTTGAATAATCCATCTACTGTTGTTGATACACAACTAGATTTTGATGTTAAAGCTGGTGCTGAAGTTCCCGATAGTATTATGTATTAGAAGGATGTAAAGGAATAAATGTATTTTTTGATAGAAAATTGTTTTTTGTGATATTAGTGGATTTTGTATCAATTATTATAGATATCATTAAAGTGTGCTTTTTATTACTTCAATGTGAATCTGTTTCTTTTTGTTATTTTATTTACCGTGTTATCTCTAATAGAATGGCCGTCTCCATTTGAATGTCCCCTCCATTCGAATGGCCTCCTCTGATTTTTCAATATAAAAATATTCAATCCTTGGTATCCAAAGCCGAAAAAAGACAAGATATCCGAAAATTTTGGGTTCCTTAATCAGTTCCAATTCGGACTCATTGAAAAATACAATGGCCCCCTCTATTTAAATGGCCCCCTCTAATAGAATGCCCCCTGGAGGGTGATTGAAAAATAGAATGGCCGGCCGGTATCTGAGAAATAAACTAAAGTACCTATGTAATTTAATCTTGATTTTATATTTAAAATGAAAAAAATGTCCAATTTCTATTAATAAAGTCCTCGAATAATTGATTTTAATTCGTTTAAAATAATCAAACATACCCCTAACATAACCATTTAATCACCAATCCTTTTTTCACATTTTTCTGCTTTTCTGGAAGGATATCCAGGTCAACTCTTTTGAAAGTTGCGCGAATATTTATAAAATAATTTTATAGAAGAAAAAAGAAAATTTTAAAAATTAGGTCAAACACTCTTCTTGGTGAAAATGAGGAGAAGATGTGCGAAGCTTTTTCCACAAAACAAAAGATTTTTGTTTCTTATTCTCGATTGTATGTAAGCTTGTTAAATGATTTATGCCGATAGATATTTAGAAATATTAAATAATTTTTAAAAGAAAAGGTGAGAAAGACAAAAAAAAATTTTTAATCTTTAGCTTTTTCAAAGAATTTAAATCTTCTTCGCCTTTAAAAATTAAAAATAATTTCTATTTGTTTCTGAATTTTTTAAACTTTTTTTCATATGCCTAATTTATTTTTTAAACTCGGTGTCCGGACTTACAGAAAAAATATAAATACCGTATTTACTCGATTAATTCCCCTGGGGAATTATTTTTTCAACCCATCCGTGGCATGGGGAATTATTCGAGGGTGGGGAATACGGTAAATAAAAATATCTGAACTTTTTTTACAACATGTACGAAAGATAAACAATTTAGAGATTATTAGAGCTGCAATAAAATAACACAAAAAGGGCAAAATTGGCAAAGGCGAAGTACTGAAAACTCTATAATAACTTTGTTCTTTAGTTCCTTTAATTTCTTTATATCGAGATTCGTCTATTTTAAAAAGAATAAACTTAGTTAAAAATCAAGTTATGTTTGATTTTTTTAAATTTTAGTCTTAAAATATGTAGTAAAAGCGATCACTCTCACAAAAAATTCCTCCTTTCAATCCGGTTATTTTATTTTTTTTGAAAAAATTTTTTGGAACAAATAGATATGTAGAAATGATCAGCAAACATTTTTTTTAATATTATTGTAAATTTATTAGAAAAATATTCCCTATTTACACAAAAATCCAAAAACGGCGTTTCTCTTTCCTCCTCTTTTTTATTTTATCCTCCTCTCACTTTTCCGTTTTCATTTTTATTTTTGTATTTCCTCTCAAAAATTTATTTTTAGTCAATCGCCAACGGCTATTTATATATTTGTGTGGATTACTTGTCCTCTTTTTTATCCACCAATTCAATTCCATCCATATCCTATTCCCGCATTCTCGTCAGCAATATAGTTTTTCGCCTGTTCAATGCTTTAAGGATATATTAGAGAAAATAAATTGAGAAAATTCGATTTTCACTTTATTTTTAAATATTTAAAAACAATTTATTTTAGAATTTAATCAATTTAAAACTATGGCTTGAAAATTAAAATTAAATACATAAATATTTACCGGTTTCCAATTTAAATTTATATTAATTATAGCTTTTTATTATAGTCAACATTAATTTATTATTTGGGTATAACTAAATCTTAATTAAATTTTTCCAACTTTACTAACCAAAATATTCCCTCATATAGTATATGCACAATATACGATTTTGAGCTTATTTTTAAACGATTTTGAGTGAAACTCTCGATACCAGATACACTTAATTTTGGTACAAATTCGTAGTCCCATTTAAAACTCAAAAAAATTAAATAAATTAAGATCAAAAATCATTGTTGTCCTTTTTATTAAAATTTCCGTTGTTTATATAATTTGTAATTTGAACAGGTGTATACAATCTAAAAAATTTCTTTATTTTAACCAATATTTAATAACAGAGATAATTTCAAAATGCCTGCGGATATCCGCCTGTATCCGCCGTAAATATCCGGATACGGAAACCAAAACCCTTGTCCACCAAGTCTGTTTTATCCATTAAATCCCATTTATTTAGACAAATGTCATTATTAATTAATAAACAAACAGCTACAAATTGGAGGACATCAAGAAGAGAACAGAGAATAATTTCTCTTAGAATAATTATTCCATTTATTATTTCTATGAATATTTTTATAAAACAAATTAAAGCCCAACACGAATTATTTAACAGTCAAAATTTTGCCCCAAAACCAACAATAGCTCCAGATTTGGCAAAATATTTTGAATTAGATGGGCATGCTAGGGAATTGGTAGATACGTTGATTGCGCCTAGACCGGGAGGGTATTTTCCTGAAAAAACATATGAGGTATTTCGATATTTTAACTAGAAAAACTCTGAGAGGTTTAAACAACTATATTTTTACGAAACGATAGATTTTATTAATATTTATGAGATATTAATTATATATATTATTATAATAAATTTCAAGTCGTCTATAAAGATTCACGGTTGATTTGTATATGGAAGATTGGGAAGAGTTAGAGCATCTTTAAAAAACTTAACTGATCATAAGAGAATGTTAACTAGATCTCTTAAACATTAAAAATAACAAATAAAGTTCCCCCACGTCCTTTCTATTCCTCATTTATCTTTGGCCATAGAAAAAAGGGAGTTTATATTAATCTGTTTTATCAGATATTATTTTAATATTAATATAAAGATTTCCAACCCACGCCCTCCACCAGCAACACCAACAGAAACACCCGACCAATTACAACAAATTGGCAAAGCTGTAGAACAGTTTTTATCAGGAGGGCAACCAAATGGTAACGATATCCAGTTGCCTTCTGGCTTCAACCAGGGATTTTCTTTTAATGGTGGAGCTAATAAAAACAACCTTGCTTTTCAAGAGAATTCGAATCCTGTAGTAAGATTAAATTTTTTGAATTTTTGAACATAAGTTTAGGAACCCAAAAAATTAATAAACTCCATAACTATTTTGATTGAACAAATGGATAAACATTTAATTTTTTAGCACGTTGACGATCACCCTCGTCAATCACCCCAAAAATCATCTGATGATGACCACCTTCAATCAGCAAAACACTCAACAGATTCGGATTCTTCCTCACTTCCATTACCTCAAACTTCTCCATCTTCAATTGCTGGAATCCCAAATGATTTTCCAAAATTGCCAAAGTTCCCTATGAGCGCCCTTCCAGCAGAAATCAGAAGGCAACAGCCTCAAACATTGAGACAGCCATTAAATGACTTGCCCAGATTTGCTTCGAAGCCTGAGGTGAAATTCTTAAAATAAATGAGATTAACTTATAATTTAAGATCCCTGATGGAGGACTTGGACTAGCTGCTTCATTGGATCCAGTTCGTCCAAACTCTGTTTCTGCTTCAGAACCGCGTTCTTCCTTTCTCACATCGAGTGCTTCGGGAGATTCATACGGTGACTCTTCTGCCGATTCTATTGATGAGCCTGCGCCCGGAGGGCTTATTGGCACAATAATGGATTTGTTTGGATTAAATAAAGATGGACGACCTCAGACAGATGCGAGTGGTATTGGAAGAGCTGTAGGGTCTTTACTTGGTGGGAGCAATTCTCCTTTGCCTGGAAAACAAGTGATAAGCAATGTGAGGGGGAAAGATTGGCGATATTTTTTTAACTTGCCTGTTTAGGTTTTATATAAAGCCTTAACTTCTGGTTCTGTCCAATCTCCAACAAACAACGATTCAACCCCTGCTAATGCCTCAGCTGCTCTTTCAAGTCTTTCCTCAATGCTACCAGCAAACAGTCCATTAGCGGCTGCAGCCGCAGCTCTTTTCTCCTCTCCTGAACTCAATACTTCAACACCCTTAACTTTAACTCAAGCACAGCAAGAAGCTATTGGTGAAAATTTAGAAATGATTCAGAATTTAATTGTGCAGCCAAGCAGCCCTCTATGTTCTCCAAAACCAGTTGTTGTTCAAGATTTCCTGTTGGACGCATTAATGGGGCAGTGGTATCAGGTGGATTAATTGTCTAGAAATAAATTTAGTCAAAAATTTATTTAAAGTAAATTTAGTCCATTATTTGGATAATTTACCCCAAACTTAATCAGCCTGTTATCTAGACACATTTTGACCTGAATTCAGGATTTTCCAAGTCGCTATAATTTGGCTTAATAATTTTAAATGTTAATGACTTGGCTGTGTTCATAATAAAATGAACAATAATTAGATTATAATATCGAAAAACAATCACATTTTGAATTTTAAGGAAAATACTTTAGCTAACTAAAAACTTATTTACTAAATTTCTTCATTTAATATCCATTTCCCATAGAATAGGTTGTGTACAGTCCATTAGTAGCTCAAAGTGGTTGTTCTGTTGTTTCGTATCGAAAAATATCTGATGTCAATGGAGGCGGGATTGGGTCTATTTTCGAAGTTTTTGAGGTACTTTCTCTCCAAAATTTTATCTAAATTTTATATTTAAAGTATTCAACTGATGGTACCCCTTATAGTAAACCAAAAATTAATTCTGGATATGGCATACTTAAACAACAAGGGGAACTAATTTTTAGAACAACTGCCCACCAAGAGGATGTAGACAGTTAATAGTGGATTTTTGAAAATTAATTTTAAAAAATATTTTTGTAGTTCATGTAATCTTTGTTGGACCTTTAAATGCAAAGGGACAATATGAATTTGTTGTTCTTTCGAGTAATTGTAATTATCCCCTTTATGTATTTGCAAGGGAACCTATTGAATATAAACAAGCAAGTTTTTTTTTGTTTTTTCGATAAAAATCGTTAACTCTAAGGAATGACTGATAAGTAAGGGTATAACCGATTTGAGGTTTTGAGGGGGAATTTATTAAGACGGATTCAAAAATTTTTTTTAATTTTAGCGCTACGAAACAGCGGTTATGCAAATGCTTGAACAGAAGGGCGTAATTAATGGCTTTAGGTATTTTTATTTTTTTATGACAAATCCTTATTAAAATTTTTTCAGTAAATTACTCAATACAGTAACCCCTGTCGATGCAAGTACTTGTATGTTTCCACCCAATCTTTTTGCACATGCTGGAAGTGGATTTGGATTAACTAATTAGAATACCTAAGTAGGGTTGGGGTTTTCGGGTCGGGCCGAAGTTCGAGTTATTTTTTCGGGCCTCATTTTTATCGGGCCGGCCCGACCGAGTCTTTTTCGTGCTAAAATTCAATGCCCGACTCAATCTTTCGGACCAGGCCGGATCGAGGCCCCCAACCCTATACCTAAGTTTTACTTAAAGCTCTCTATCTTATATTCAAGACAATTTTAATAATTTTCAGAAAAGTGGTTATAAAATTTAAAAATCCTCAAAAACTCATTAAATGAGAGAGAGAGCTTTATATTGTTGGTTTTGAATATAAAATAATGTATAAATCCAATAGCTATCAATTATATAATTTAAAATATATAAAAATATTTTTTATGCATATCTCATTTACTAGTTTACATATATAATTTTAATTAAACAATTTAAAAATGTTTAGAAAAAATAAAAAAAATAAATTTTAAACAAAATAATCTGAAGAATTGATTGAGGTTTTTAATCAAAGATGCTTTAATCAAAGACTTCAAAAAATATTTTATACCCCTTAGGGGTTGTTTAAAATCTTGACATATGCTCATTCGAAAGCCCTTAAAATTTGCTACAGAAAGTCAAAAATTATATTTCTCAAAAATATTTTGATATGTAAGTTATCAACATTTCTGTGTCGCCTTATAAAACGCTTAATAGCCCCATAAAATTTAAGAACACTTCGGAAGATAAACGGTATATAGGTATCTTTTATTAGATTTTTTTTCTGAAAATAATTGTAGCAAATTTTAAGATATTAAAAATTTAGTGGTTCTCGAATCAGTACTCAAAGCAGAGGAAAATATTGGTTTATGGATACTAAAATATAAAAACGTTTTTTACCTTTTTTTCAGAAAAGATAGTTAGATTTCATAATAGTCAATAAATAAATTATTTTCATTTTTCATTTTTCATTCATATGATAATCAGAAGCTTTTCTAAATTGAATTTTGTTTTTAATGTGAATAAACAAAAATAATAAATTTTAGCAAAAATTGCCATTTATTTACAAAAATAGAAAATAAAAGAGGCAAAGCATAAAATAGAAATAAAAAAATATTTTTATAAAAAATCCAAATTTGATCTTTTTATATGGATATATACAAAAATAAATTTTTAGAGAGTTGCTAAAATTTTTTTTTAAAAACAAAAATAGAAAATAAATGCTTTAAACTTTTCTTTTGCCTTTGAAGTAACCAGTTGTTTAAATATTTTGGATAAGATTTGAAGCAAAGGATTCTTTGATGTTTATTTGGAAATTCTTAAAAGAAAAGTGCAGATTAGACAATATAAATACAGTTGGGGTGAGTTAAGCAATAAATCATTTTAATTAATTAATTAAATTTTTATTTTAAAATATTTTTTAAAGCATTTATTACCTTCATACCTCGAATTTACATACCCAAAGGTAATTGGCCCTCCATTTTAAATCCATTATCTCCACCTTTACCCCTAATTATTAATAATTATAGGCTCTAAAAAGGGTTGCTTTTAAGCCGTATTAATTCAAAAAAATACAGGGTGTTTCAGATGAAAAGCACTAAAAATAGAGATTGAGCTTTTTTCCTTTTAAAACAAATATTAGAGCTACATATGTAAATTAATTTTAAAAAATATTTTTTCTATAATAAATATTTAAATTTAAAATTAATTAATAATTTAAGAATTTTCATTAAAAATTTCAAAAAAAATGTTTTCTTCTTCAACCAAAATTTGTTTATTTTTTCTTTCAATTTTTATATTATTCGAATTAAACAATGGTGATTGTAAAGGATATGGTGCTAAATGTAGTGGAAGAGGAAAGGGTAATTGTTGTGCTGGAACTTGCTCTGGAACATGTTGTATTAATGGTGGAGGTGGTTGTAACGGTGATAGTGATAAAAGATGCTGTCCAGGTACGAAATGTACGGCGCCAGGAGAAGTTGGGCACGATTACAGATGTGAGTAATTAAATAAGAAAGAAGGAAGTTTGTGAACTGAGGATGCTACTACTATAGTATTTTCCAAACGAAAAACGTTTTTAATCTTTCCTTTCTTGATTTGGCTGTTAAATTTCTTTCCTTTAAACTTTTTTTCTTTAAAAATGTATTCGATTTAAAAATTTTGTTGAATAAAACAACGGGATATAACGTGAATGAATGATAATAAGAACAAAAATTAATTAATATAAAAGCTTAATAATCTTCAACAAAACATTTTCGATGTCCATCATGTATTCCTTGATAAATCTCCTTATCACGTCCCTATTGCTTTCCACATCAACACTGCTTCTTCTCTCTGCTTCGGATTGGTCAGGCAATATTGTTGGGTATGGCAAACATTTTCTGTGCAATGACAAAATTGTTCAATTAAATGGCAACATGTTTATAGCTACAAAAGAAGTGGACTTGGATAGATATAGAGGAGGTAATGATGCTTGTGATGTTGAGATTGCTGAGAATGGGGATATGTGAGTTTTGTTTTAGATTAGAGATTTGACTTGATTTTATCTCATCTCGATTAAATCTCTATTTTCGATCATTTTTCTAATATAATTTTCATTTCTTCCACTTACAGAATTATCTGGTACCGGAAAGACACTGTAAAAAAATTTGGATGTTCTATCGATCTAGTCACCAAAAATGAAGGCTCAATTCCTTTCCAATTTGGCATCAACAAATCTGAGGGTTTATCTAATTGTTTGATTAAAACTGGGGATATGGAAGGCGAAGGAGGGACAGGAAATCACGATGCTACAAATTGGAATACGTGAGAATGAAATTTAACAAATCTCTCTTTAATTTTTATTTTTTAAGAATTCCTTTCTCCTTCAGTTTAAAAGATGCTGAATTTGAAAAATTAAAATCCAATCCTCAATATGGAAAGAATTGTGGATCAAAAGGAAGCAAAGTTTGTGAAAATAGTGGGGGAAAGTGTTTAAAACAAGCAGATTATTCAATTGGATGGGCAAGTAAATCTAATCAAGTCTTTTACGCAGTTCAGCCAAGTAAGTAATTAGTCGTTCACTTGGTAAACTCATCTCACACAAAATTTATAAGATAAGACTAAAATAAGTAAATCCATAGGGATCGGATATTCATTGAATGAGAGGGCAATTAAAATTTGGCACCCCTTATTTTAGGGTACTTATATCAGTACAAGGGCTTTAGTATAGAAGGTTTTAGTATATAGGTTTCAGTATATAGCAGAGGTGGTCGGAAATGACGAAGGTGCCGGAAATCGGAAATCGGAAATTTTTCCAAAATTTCCGAAATCGGAAGGAAAGAAACGTTGAAAATCGGAATTCCGACACACCTCTGTAGGTATTAAAAACATTAGAAAATGTCTTTAAAAGTTTTCTCCTTTAACTCTTTTTTTTAATAATTTTTTATTGAAATTTAGTTGGAGAGCCTCGATATTGGTCTTGTTTACACGACGACAAAGATAACCTGTCAAAATCTTCTTTTGAAATAAAAATTAGAAGTGGCGGTTTTGATTTATTAAGCAAAAATTGTGAGGGGAATATGGACTTTGATTGTTTTAAAAAAGAATTTATTCGAAAACCAGAAGAATGGGAAATTGTGGATGAAAATTATAAAGAAGGACTATTTAAATATTTATTTACTTTCCATTTGCTTCCTCTATCAGCAGCTCCAAAACGCAATATATTTGTTAAGCGTATTATGAAAGGGAGGTTGAATGAAGCAAAATGTGATATTTTTATTAGATTGGTGAGTTTGCTTGTTTAAAATTTGGATATCAAATACTTCACTATAAAGGGCCGACTTTGGAGCTTAAAATTGTATCTCATAATGAGGTGTATCCTAAATAGGAGACATAGTTGCATAACTCTCCCCTCTATTAAATAATGTTTAGCAAAAGTTTAGCCACCGAGCAGGATTCGAACCTGCGACCTCCTCGTAGTTATTGCTAGGCGCTTTCACTCTATACATACAGGAGCTATCGGGGCATCAACTAATGTTTTCTCTTTTATCCTTTTAGATTATTTAACTCCCGCCTAAGCGTTTTTAAATGCTCTAGGTGAATCATCCTTACATTAGCCTGCCAAAAATTTTAAAGATATGAAGGATAAAATTAATAATTGTTGGGTGTATTTTTAAAAATTTTATCCTTTTTTAGGACAAAAATCATGTTAAAATGCTCACTCCATATAGTAAAGAATCTTTGTCTCAAAATTTAAATCCCAAAGTTCAATGTGAAATTTCTAAAACTACTGCAAGTGTTGTTAATGGAAAGAAGACTTCAAATATTCTATTAAATACAAACGAAACTTTAAAAACAGAAGGAACAAATATTAGTAATTCTGAGGGAACAACAAATATATTTTTTATTATTGGAATTATTTTAATTATTATAATAATGTAAATAATTTTTAGAGAGTCAAACCTCATTTTTAGATACCCCCCAAAATTGGACTTCTATTTGAGATACTTTTTTTTAATTTTGGTTGATGAACGAGTAGGTGAGAGCTTTGTAAGGGATATCCATAATTATTATAAGTACAAGGGATTATCATAGGTACCAGGGATTGTAAAGCGTATAGCTTTTTAATTCCTAAGGCTGAGCAGTAGGCGGCGTGGTGTAATGGCTAACACATCAGTCCGGTCTACTGAAGATGCTTGTTCGCTCCCAGCCGCCGAATAAACTTTTGCACTAGCTAAAGGAGAGAAATAGCTATAGCCCAGCTGCTTTACCGACTGACATAAAAAATAAATTCCTGATTTTCGGGAATCGGGAATTTTGTCACTGCGATCCCTGATGGTACTCTCCTCCTTATAATGTAAAATTATTCATCCAAAGGGAGAGTATCTAAAAACGAGGATTGACTTTATTAAAATTTCCAAATCAAAAAATTTTTTTTAAATTTTTAGTGTTGCATTAATTATTTATTGGCTAGTATTTAATCGAAATAAAAAAGAAAAAGAAGGAGAAATTGGAAAAACTTTTTCTGAAACAAAAATTGATAAATGGGCAAGAAAAAGTGAAACAACAAATATTGGGTCTGAAGAAACAAAAATCCCAAAAACAACAACAAATATCTCCGGTTCTTCTTCAAACACAAAGCCCTCTTCTTCAACTAAAGGCCAATCAACGGGAAAAACTTCTAGCCAAACAATGACTAAAACTGGGGAAGTATTTACGTATAAATCGCCTAGGCCTAGTACAATAAATAAAGTTATGAATAAATAAATAAATGAAGAAAGGATTATATTTAAATTTAAATTATTGTTGTTTTTGTATTATTTTTTTAAATACTATAACTATAATTTTGTTAATTTAATAATAAAAAAGTTTGGAAGAGTAGTCATAGAAATAGTAGTCTGTAGTGAGGTTGTATTTTGTGGTGAGGTCTGAATAATTATTTTTAAATAAAATTTTATTTTTTGAAAAAAAGAAGACTGACAAAATTGGAAGAAAAAAAGAGAAAACTTTTAGCTATATTCTTTTTTATTTAGTAATTCAAAAGCTTATTTGTTAGTTAATGAAAATATTTTTATTTACAAATTTTTAAGACTTTTTTAATAAAAAATACTTTTCTAATTTTTGATTATATTTCATTTTGTTTTTAAATTTAAAACAACCGATAAACAAAGGATCACTTATTACTAACCGAATTTAAAATTTAATTTAAAAAATATTTTTCAAAAAATAATGTTAAAATTAATAAATAATTTATGTTAAATAAAGAATTTCTTCTTCAATTAAAATTTGTTTTTTCTTTCAATTTTTATTCCCAAAAACCGGGAATTCCCAACGTTTTATAGGTCGGGAATCCCGATTCCCGAAAATGTCGGTCCTCAAGTCGGGGTCCTCAAAAGTCGGCTAAACTTTATAGGGGCTCTGCAGAACTCCCGGCCCAAAAATTATATTATCATAGAACTTTAGGTAAGTAATAAACAGAATTTTTTTATATTCAAATAAAAAGAAAAATATTATTTTATATATTATGCATTTATTTTTATTTTTCCATCAAAAATTTTTTTATTATAATTTCCAGTCTTACTATAATTTAAATTTCCCCTAGTCTGAATTCTTTTAAAGAATAAAAGTATGTTTTTACATATTTTTAAGATAAAATGGAGAAAATTAAAATTTAAAGTAATATGAGGATTTTGTGTGGTAAGCCTAGAACAAAAATTTTATACAGACCATAAGGGGTCGAAAATATTTTTTAGAGTTGAAAAACCCTGTTTTACGTTGATTTTTAGGGTATCGAGATCTCGAATTTGAACTGTGATAGAGCCCTAATTCTTTTTTTATTTTTTATACAATTGATAGACATATTCACGGTATTTTTTGTAGAATTTTACAATAAGTGGAAACTAGACTTTTACAGGGGTTCTCAAAGTGAACGTATATTTATGTAACACTAGTTTTATTAAAAATTTGAAATAAAATTTTTTTCGAAAATGCTTCGACATTTTGATAATTTTTTCTCAAATTATAATCGAATTAGCTATATTTTCGCGAAACTTGAAGTAAATCCGCCTATTCGAAATGGAGTTAGGTAAAAAATTAGGGGTGAACGTATGTTTATGTAACGCACTGTATTTTTAAGATAAAATGGAGAAAATTAAAATTTAAATATAAGGATTTCGTGTGGTTATTTAACCAAAAACTGATTAATATAAGCAAATTTATGAAGAATTTGTATAAGAAAAACAATAAATCTCTTAATTTAAAAGTAAATTTATTTATTGTGTACAGAATTTTAGAAATTAAATTTACAGGATTACTATTTTATTTTTAGAGGAATAACAAAAAAATAAACAGAAAAATAAATTATTTTTACATTTCTTCATTAACAACCAGAGGTGGGTCGGAATTCCAATTTCCGAAAAAAATTTCGATTTCCAATTTCCGAGCTTTTGAGCCAGTTCCGATTTCCGGCTCTTCCGACACCTCTGACTGTTCCGACCCACCTCTGATAACAACCACCATTTACAATTACAAATTTTCAGTCTTTCCCTCCCCTTCATTTGAAATGTTGGACAAAAATAAACAAATAGAACAGCAAACAGTTGATACAATCCTACAAATTGTAATTTTTATCTTTAAAATTTATATGGAGATAATAAATAAAAATTATTTTAAAATAAACTTACAAAATAATTATAGAGCTAACAAGTATTAAAGTTGTTGAAATGTTCTCAAATTGCCCAAAAGTTTTTGTTTGCCTTTTAGTCTGTTCTATAGTCTTTTTGTTTTGATTAAAAGGAACGAGAAGTTTAAAGTCTTGATTTGACTAAAAATAATTTTAGTAATTTTTATTTAATTTTAGTCGAAACTTACAAATTTAACGAACATTTTCTCACACCTTTGCATTTGGGCTTCTTTATCACATTCTCCATCACATCCCCAAATATCCTGCATACTTTTTCTCATTGCTAATACTGGGAGAATTTGGAAAGTAAAAAGATTTTTGTATTTTTGTTCCTTATAATTTTTATCCACAATTTTCCATCCTTTCACCTTTCGAATATTTTCCTTCTTGAAACAAGTTGAGTTAAAATACGACATTGGGGTGCCGCAGAAATTTACACTAGAAACATTGTAGAATTTAAAATCCACAGAAGCATTTGTCTCTTTAGTCAAAGTTTTTGTATCATTTGCTATACAATTAAATAAAGTAATCTCCCCAACTTTAAAAGAAAAATTTTTGAGGATTATTAATAGCTAGTGATTTGAAGTTTTACGTGGTTGATAGCTTTTAAGCACACTTTCTCCTGTTCGAGCCCATCCAATAGAATAATCAGCTACCTCCAAACATTTACCATCATGGTCCCCACAACGTTCTTCTTGACCTTCTGCACAATCATTAATATTACCATACAAAGGCCCTTTCTTAATTTTGTCAAATTCTTCGTTTTTTAGACTGAAGGAGAAGGCTAATCTAAATAAATGTTTTTCTTTAAACTTTTTGCATGTATACCGACCGATTTTCGTTTATAGCGCGAAGTTTTTGGTTATTTTTGTCATTAACTAAAGCCTCATCTAGACAGTCAAAAAGCTTGTAATTGTGCCAGATACCAAATTCTAAGAAGAAATAATCAGCATTCTGTGTGACAAAATCAACAGAGCATCCCTCCTCTTTTGTTTTAGAATATTTTAAGTACCAAACAATTCTGTTAAAGTAAAGGAATTTTTATTAGAAAAATGTCTTTTTAATTTCCCTACAAATTTCCATCCTTGTCCATTTCAATATCATAAGCGCCTGGAAGTTTTTTGTATTGTTCAACATCCTCGGGAGTTTCGGCAATCATTGTATTGACCAACAACCTTTTAATCTCTCCGTCAATCAGTTCATGTCTGCCATGCCCAACTAGATCGCAATCGACCCAACATCCAAATAGCACCACGAAGGCCGAGAACCGTAAGAGGATGGAGATGTCTGAAGAGGCATTGCTGCCACGATTTAGCATTCTGACAAACTCGGCTTGAAAGTCTTTTGTAATGGGAGAAAGTTTAAATTCTGTAGTTACATACTTTTATAGTGAATAAAATGTTTCATTAGTAAATCATGAAAAATAAAAATCTTTTAATTCAACAAATACAATAAAATAGCAAGCAACTTTATACCAGGTTAATAATGTTTTAAACATTATTGACATTTTGTTGATTTAGATAATAAATGAATTGAAAAAATAGGACGTTTATAAATGAAAATATAGTTTTCTTATTTAAACAGTCAAGACTCACTATAAGATTCATAATAAACCAGGGCTCGGATTCGTACTTTATTTGAAAGTACAGTACTTTAAAATCGACCTCCGTACTTACAAAACTGAATTTGTACTTTATTGAAAGTATGTACTTTAAAATCAACATTTTGGATTGAAAATGGATTGGGGAAGGGATTGGGCAAAAATGAATTTTTTTGGCCTACGGCCTTCGAAATTCTCAAAATTTTCGCCTGCGGCGCTGAAAAAGGAAGAAATCTGGCGACATGGCTCCAAATTTCAAAAAATTTTCGCCTGCGGCGCTAAAAATGGAAGAAATCTGTCTTAAGGACCCCGAAATTTTCCAAAATTTTCGCCTGCGGCGCTGAAAATGGACGAAAGAAAGTAGTTTGCTTGAGGTTAAGACTGTCAGGGCTTTATTTCGTCTGTAAGCGAATTTAGACATGCCATGCATGAAATGCACAAAATGCTCAGTGGAAACAAGAAATTATTAGAAAAGATTAATTTAGGAGGGAAATATAAAAGATTTGAGCACGATTAAATATTTTCTAATTTAATTTTGAGCATACTTTAATTTTGGAAATTTTGTCCCTATGTACTTTAAAATCAAGATTTTTGTACTTTTGATTAGCATTTTGTCGATCCGAGCCCTGTAATAAACACTTGAAACCACTTAAGACAAAAAATTATAATTTATGAAGTAATGTTCTTTAAAAGTATCTACCCAATTGTCGAATTTGACAATAATTTGGAAGGCGTACATTAAAAATTTAGCGGTTATCTAATCGGTACCCAAAGCAAAGATTTTTTTATTTTTCATTAATATGATAAATCAAAAGCTTTTCTAAACCAAATTCTGTTTTCAAGCTGAATAAACAAAAAAATACAAAATAAAATTTAAATTTTAGCAAAAATTCTCATTTATCTACAAAAATAGAAAATAAAAGAAAAAAAATAAGTAGAAGCTAAAAATATTTTTAGAAAAAATCTTTTGGATTTTAAAAGCAAAAATTGAAGGTAAAAACTCAAAACTAATAAAATTTGAACCAAGGGATTGTTTGATGTTTATTTGGAAATTCTTAAACTAAAAAGTGCAGATTAGCCAATATAAATACAGTTACGATGAGTTAAGCATCAAATCATTTTAATTATTTAATTTAATTTTTATTTAAAAATACATAGCTATATTTTATGTAAAGGTGATTCAATCATCAATGTCAAACCATTAAATAAATGGCATAAACGTTATACGGTCCTTCTATGTATTCGTTTAACTAACCTATCAAAATTCTCGAAATTTTCGCCTGCGGCTCTTAAATAAAAAAAATAGGACCAAAAGTAAAAAATTTTCCATATTAATCTCTCCAAATCTCTAATCCTTCAATAAATTAATTTTTAGAAAAATTTAAAATTAAATACTACACAAAATAATGTCTTCAATTAATATTTATTGCCTTCTTTTTGTCTTCTCTACTTTTTTAATATTTGAATTTACAAATAGTTGCTCTTATCATGGATGTAATTCAAAGTTGCATTGCTGTTCTGGTTTTAAATGTAAACGTGGTCAATGTGCTTCTTGTGAAGGTCATAATGAAAACTGCGATCATAATGATGATTGTTGTCAAGGGGTCTGCAAAAATGGAGTATGTGCAAAATAATACGATTGAAAAGAATTTTCAATGAAATAAATTTTTCTGATAGGACAAAACTTGCGGGCCGATATGGAAATTGAAGAACTTTCTATAAAATTAAAGTTGCGGTCCGAAACTTTTCTATTTTTCTTTTGTACTTTCCTATTGATCAAAACTATCAAAAGTTTTTAATTGGAAATATTACGGGTTATGGCAAAAGTTAGATTTTCAAACTTTTTTCGGTTAGGATCAGTGCTTCGAAGCTCGTACCAAAATTCGTACTCGTACATCGTACTCGTACCTGGTACGAAGTACGAGTATGAGGCCAAAAAAGTGAAAAGTACGAGGTACGAGGCCTAAGTACGAGCTCGTACCTCTCGTACTTGGTGTTAATAGGAAAATTAAAGAAATATATTTAATTCCTTTCATCCGCCGTTATATGAGCTACTGGCCGAGTGGTTTTTTTTGCAATTTTGAAATTTCGAAGCACTGGTTAGGATTATCAAGCAACCCTTAACATCCAAAAAAATTTATTTAATATTTCTTATCTTTCCTGAATATTTTATTATAAACAATAATCTTTATTTAATAATGAACTTGTACTATTATTAAAAATAAAATTCGTCTCTACTCAAGGCTAGGGTTGGCGGTTCCAAATATACGGAACCGAAAAAGTCCGGTTATCCAGAAATTTTCATTTCGGTTATCAGCTCCGTATATTCGAAGATTTTCAAAAAACCTGACAAAATATAAATTTTTTATTACCTTTATTAGGTAATTTTTAACAAAGAAATTTTTAGAAAATACAAAAAACGTTTACTCAAGTCGTTATGGAAACATATCTACTTTCTCCTCTCTTTGTCCATTGTTTATTATATAGACAGGTAAAAAGCCCTCTCAAACAAAAGCAAAAAAACTGGAAAGGCTTCCCTTTAACTGTTTTTCTATAATTTTGAGGAAAATAATATAAACTGGATTTAAAGAGCCCTTAAAATTAAATAAATAAAATTTTATGGTTTTTATTTTACACGAAATTTAGGATTTTTTGTATGAATTTATTTTTTTAATTTATACGCATCGAGATATTTATTTAAAATATTCTTATGGTCCGTACTTATTCATTTAATCCTTCAACTCAAAGTAATATAATTTTGAATGGAAGAGGAACAACACCCTTACCCTCCCTGTCATCTGCTACGACTACTTTACGTTCAATGACGGAAAAAGGTTTTTACATATGTACATATGGAAACCGGAAACCAAAAAAATGAGGGGGGGGGGGGCAGAAGGAGTGGATATAGGAATTGAGAATCGTTTCTCTGGACTAACCTCTTATTTTCTTGAACATAATTTTGAATTTTACCTAAAATTTTATCAAAGTTCAACTTTTAATTATTTTTAAAAATCAGCTCAAACAACAGCTGGACATACTCCTCGGAGAATAAAAAAAGAACAGCAACAACAACAAATCCCTTTTGAAGATAATCAAAATTCTTTTAATTTAAATTATTCTCAAATGAATGGAAATAATTCCTTTGAGGAAGTGCCTTTTCAGCAGAAACAACAACAATCTCCAATAGTTATTGAGGTTTGAGAATATATTTTTGGCGAATAAAAGTTGAGATAGTGGGATGTGGGATGGTTGAGTGAATAACATTAAAATTGCATAGGAGGCTCCCTTTTAGACAATTCTCGCCTCTGCTTCCATTAATCATTTTTCCCCAAATATTTTCACAAAATCAAGATACTTTTAGGAAGAACAAACAACTTTATTTGGAATTAGATCAATTCTTATTAACGGGCAACGTTTCTTTCAACCCTTGGATATACCTTCTTCTAATCAGAATCAACAAAGAAATCAACAAACATCTGCAGCTTTAGTTTTGGCATTAAACGGGAATAATAAAAATAATGGAGAGCATAAAACAGCGTCTTCTGTTATTAACGGGAATGGAAGAATAAATTCTGATTTTAACCAACAAAATCAGAATTTCAATGATAAAATAGAACAATCAAATAATTATTCAATTCAAAATGGAAATAAAATTGATGAATTTTTAAATAATAATTTTACACCGTCTTTACCAAATAATGGACATAATATCATCCCAAATTTACATTCAATCCCGAAAAATAATTTTGTTGAACGTCAAAACTCTACTTTACAACAAAATAATAATTTAAATAATACTGTACAAAGAGAGAATAAAGAGGAGGAAGGAGAGGATGATAATGTACTTCCATGGGCAAGGGGATGTCCTCAACCTAAAAGTGGACAGAGAGGTTCTCGAAGTTGGATGGAAGGAAATGAAATGATTAAAAGAGTTTGTTTTGAATTTTTAAGTAAAAATCTGGATTTTTTATAAATATCATTTTTGTTTATGCTACTGTCGGACCTCATTTATTAAACCCTTAAAATCGAATGTGTCTATTTTTAGGGGTATCGTTTGATCTTCTTCTCAGACAATAGCCAACCAAATCTAAAAAATGTAGCTATGAGGTATATTAATCATTGAGTGAGTGTAAAATTGAGGTCCGATTATGTATATATTTCATTTTTTCTAATTTTCCTCTCCATTGTTCTTGCTTTCCCTCGGAAAAACCAAAAATTAAAATTATTCAGATCTTAGCTCCAACAAGTTAAAAATCTAACTCGTTACTTTACTTAGAAATACATAGGCGAGAACGTCCTTTCCTGCCCTTAAATGAATAAAGAAATCATTAGGAGAGTTTACGCAAACCAATGAATTTTTTAATAATTAAATTTTTAATTTTTTCTTAGCATGGTAGCGCTTTTGAACGTTCATTTGCAGCAACATCCTCAACTGCCAGTTGGCCTCCCCCAATACCCCAATTACCCGAAAGAATTGTAGAACAAAATTTTCAACGTTCAGCATCTAGTATAGCTCCATTATCTAATATAAGTGCAACAGAAAGACATAGACTTGAATTGTTACATCAAATAGAGGAAAATAGAAGGAGACGAGCTTTGGAAAAACAAAAAGAATGGGAAATGGAAGAAAGGGAAAGAATTAGGTTTTGTGAATAAATATAAAAATTTTATTTTCTTGTGTAAGCCTTAATTGTTTGGGATTTGACTTAAAATTTAAGTTTTAAAATGAATTAAAAAAATTTTTTGTTCAAGATCCTGACCATGAGAAAAAATTAGAGTTTAGTTAACATTTTACTATGGGTTTATCTTGCATTTTTAGGTTTGATAACAATAAGGAGTATTCTGAACGAGTAAAGGAGAGTGCTTTTTAATATCCACTAATTCTTCAATGGAACACTTAATAAAAGAACGACAGCAAGTGTGCCCGAATTAAATTTCAATTAAACTGTTCATGCCTAATTTGAAATTTGACGATTTTCTATAAACAAAAATAATTAATTTTTATTATTTTTAAAGAGATGAACGTTGGCGAGAACGTCAGCGTGCAGAAATCGAAGCAGAAAAACGGGCGGAACGGGAAAAGGCATTAGCTGTTGAACGTAAAGCTGCTAAACTTGCAGCAGCCCAAAAAGCAACAGAACAAGCACTACGTGAAGAAGCACAAAGATTGGCTGAGGCTAGAGCTCAGAGAAGGCGTAAACAGTCAGGTAGGAGGGATATTTTTTGAAAAGAATTAATTTTCAAAAATTTTTCAGGTTCAAATTTCTCGGAAACAGTTGAATCTGTCAGTGATCGTAGTCGCCCAATAAGTCGTCAAATTCCTGTTGGTAATCAAAATAGAAATATTGGAGAAGAGATTGATAGAAATAAAAATGAGGTGAATTTATGTGTTTATTTTTAAATTTAAAATTAAATTACCGTATAACCTGTATTAATTGCCCTCCCTCAAATAATTACCCCACCCATTAATTACCCCATCCAGCGATAGATTGAAACAATAATTACCCCCAAACAAATGCCCTAAAACACGTTCAAATTTCAAACCTCGTATAATTACCCTCTCTCGATTAATTACTCCCTCCAGCGGGAGGTCGAAACAATAAATACCCTGGGTAGTTATTAAAGGATATACTTTAGGCTTAAAGGCCAGGGTTTTATCAAAGATTAAATAAAATATTAAATTGAAGATAAATAAGTTTTGAATTTAACAGATAGAGGAAGAATGGTGGGAAAGGAAGGACAGCATTTATTCAGAGAGAATGAGAGATTCAGCTCGCAACAACAATCGCCCTTCTTCCTTTCGTGGAAGGCAACAATCTCCAGTAGTTCCAGCATTGAGAAAAAGATTAATGGAAAATGGGGGAGAAAATCAACAACAACAAGAATTAATACAAACACAACGCTCAATGAGTGTAGGCAGTCGGCCTAGAAGTAGAAGAAGCAGTGTTTCTTCTGCTTTTGGAAGGTTTGTTGAAGTTAAAGAGATTGTGATTGGTTGGAATAGTTTTTGGGAGTTTACGGAATATTTCGAAATTTAACGAGTCCCTTTTTTAATTTTTGTTATGTGGCTTTAATTATTAATAGCTGCCAACCTTTTGATTGTTAAGCAAAGTTCATTTACAATTACAATGAGATCCTTCATAAAGGTTTTTTGTTAATTCATTATTTCACCGAAATTAGCTTCAATTCTAATTTTTCTAAATTTAAAACTGGCCAGAAAGTTTTTAATTTTAAAATTAAAGAACAAGCCGGCACGCATATACTCCTTCAATTGAAAATAGAAATAATTCGAATTCAATTAAGAATGGGATTGGGAGGAGCAGAAATGGAAATAGAAATGAAGAGAATTCATAAAAATTTGGATTGTATTATTATTAAATTTGTTTATTTTCATTTTATCAGAAGATATTTAATTTGTTAAATAAATATTTATTAAACAAATTATCTGTTAATTTTAGAGACCGGACTGGGAGTGTCGTACGAGAATCGAGATCTCGAAAATTTCTCAATCACGATAACCGAGATTTTCGATCGAGATTCTGTCTCTGTCCGGTCTCTAGTTAATTTTGTTGTTAAACTGCAGAATAGGACATGGATACGGATACAGATATTATAAAAATGCCTGCGGATATCAGCCTGTATCCGCCGTAAATATCCGGATACGGATACCAAAATCAGTATTCATGTCCTAGTCTGCTAAATTGTACTTTGATAGAAAACAATCGAGATTTGCCTGAAATTAAAAGTATAAAAACTAATTTAATGAAGTAACTACATCCTTGCATTTCTACAAAAATTCTCTAAAATGCCTTCAATCTCTTCATTCTTGTGTTTTGTGGCGGTTGTGTTGCTAATGGTTGGAAAGGTCAATTGCGATCTAGTTGGGCATGGCAGGCATGAGCTGGATGGCGAGGAGATCACAACTTTGAAGGGCAATACAATGATGGCTGAAAGCGAGACAGACCTTGAACTTTACAATAAAATGGATGGGGCTTGCAATGTTACTATGGACGGGGATGGAAATATGTAAGGAACTTTAATGATATTTTTTATTGAAAAATAATTTTTTTAATTTAAAGCTTGCTTTGGTATGACGAGAAATTAAAGGATAATGGATGCTCGCTGGATTTGGTCACAAAGAATGATAATATATTTGGCTTAACATTTACCATTTCGGACAATGATATGTTAACCTGCCTTACCTTTTCTTCTCTTGACAATATGTGAGTTAATTGATCTTTCAGACCGTTCTAAAAATATTGTTTTTTAGGATGTTTTTCACCTTTAGCCTGAAAAATGATGAATTTGAAAAGCTCAAAAAAGATGGACATATTTATGGCAAAAACTGCAATAAATCTTCACGCTATTGCAAAAACATCAAATGTTTGGAGGTATATGACTACGCTATTGGGTGGAACAAAGTCGGTTTTGCCCTTCATTTAAGTAAGAAATAATTCTCTAAAAAATTATTTAACTCTATTTTTCTTTTAGTTGGTGATCCTATAGTTTTACCTTCAAAACCCATAAGCTCTGAAGTTTGGTCACCTGAACTATCTTTCGGAAGGGAACATTATTTAATAAATAAAATATATGAACTTCGCCCAATGTGCTCCAAGAATGACACCAGGCGCGAACCAAAAGGATGGAAAATTGTTGACAATAATTACTACAAAGGAACAGAATTCAAATATCTTCTTACTTTTCACATTCTGCCAGTAACTAAAATGCGTGATAAGATGGAGGACGCATTTTGTAAAAAAGATTACGCAATTGACTGCAGTGGAAATCATAAAATGCAAAAATGTGCAAAGATGTTTGTGAAATTTGTGAGTTACATAATTTGTTTGTCAATTAACAAAAAAAAATTAGGGAAAGGACCACTACAAATTACTTGTACCATATATTCCAACAACTACAGTAAATACTTCAACTACCCAGAAATTCATTTCCACAACAACAACAAAAATAGTCACAACGTCTTTTGGATGGAATACAACAAAAACAACAAATTATTCTTCAACAACTTTAACAACTAAACAAACATCTAAAACTAAGGAAAATTTAATTAAATTCATTATTGGGTTTTGCCTCATATTGTGAGTTTATTTAATTTTGGTACTTTTTCGGTTTGGGTAGATAATATTGTAAGATGCTAATAGTGGTGAAATGACACTAGCAATTGTGTTTGGGTTACTGGTAGGGTTTGACCCCGAATCCTGAGGGCACGTTTTTCGGGGAGCGTTATAGGATGACTGACAATAAATTGTGAGTGTTATTCTGTCTGTCATCCTACAACGCTCCTCGAAAAACGTGCCCTCAGGATTTGGGGTCAAACCCTAGTTAATGGTTACCACCGAATATTTAGTCGAAAATCACTTTGGGATACCTCCTTGGGTCTGAAAATATCGTAGCTTATAATGAGGGCTACCCTGAATTGTGGGCATTTTTCCTCAATTTACTTCCAACCAAGTTTTAGAAAACTACTTAAATTGGGGAATATTGCTTGATTTTTCTATTAAATTTTTGTAAAACAATTTTGTCTATCTAAATTTAAGGAGTACACACTAAATAATTGTTACTTTTTTAACTCATAAATTTTCAGCTTTGTGTCAATATTCAGTTGCTTTCTAGTATGTTGCTGTGTGTATTGTATCAAATCTAAAAAGAAAAATAAACAAAAACCCAAATCAAATCTGGATAAACATAGAAGGTCAAATCCATCCAAAATTCACGTTTCGAAGCCTAATCCACCTCCAATTCAATTAAATCCGCCTCCAATCCAAGCAAATCCTCCTCCAGTCCGAGCAAATCCAAACTTGATCAAATTTAAAAAATCAAAGATGACAACTGTTTCGAGGCCAGATAAACTTCCATTCAGAGATTCAAACGAAGATATCGCAAAAATTAAAGTTGTCAAACCTCCAAGTACTCTAACAAAAACAGATTCTCCGTCAACGGAAGACTATACTTATAACCAAACTTTAACAAACCAAACAATGATGTGGACGTATAAAGAACCGCCGGAAAAGGTTGTTGATAAAGATGATGATGAATCAACGATTAAAAAATAAAAATGTTTTGGATATAATTTTTTGTTTTATTTGTTTGTATATTTGTTTTTGTTTTTCTTGTTAGCAATTTCTGTATTTGTTAAATCTGTAAATCTATCAAATATACTGTTGATTGATTTAAAGACGTGAAAAAATTTATAATTTTCATTGATATTCATGAGCTTTTCTAAACACAATTTTGTTTTTAATAATATTTTGGTGCTTAGGGAGTATCTCCCAAAAAATCCGCAAATGTTTCTTTTCTTCTCCGTCCTTCTTCTCATCTCATAAGGATTAAAAATGGTCAAGTATTGATAAGAGTTCATATGTATGTTATCAAGAAAATATCCTATATTTAGTGTTAGGTATCGTATATTGAAAATTCTCCGATACCAAAGTGCCTTTTTACTCTCAATATTTTGCGTCAAAATGGCTATATTTTTAATGGGATCAAATGTCATTTTTCGTTTCTCTCGCATTCTCTCTCTTTTCCCTTCTGCCTCTCAGTTCAAAGCGAAATTTGTTTTTTCATTTCGAGTTTCGATTTGATGGTTTCGACTTCTAAGATTTGTTTATTTCAGTTTCTGCAACAAACTCGAAGAGTAAATTTGTGATATATTTAGGCTTATTTTTGTCTCTCTTTTTAAATTTGCAATTTAGTCGATCTTTTAATTTTTTTACAATTTATAGATGTCAGATGAAATGAACCCAAGTAATTTAATTAAAAGCGAAGAGGATAACGAAAAAAATCAAAAACAAAATTCCGCCACAAAAAAGCGTTTTTTCTTTACCAAAGGCCAACGACCATTACCTCCAAATAATCCAACTTTTGAACATTTAGAAAAAACAAATGAAGAAATTGTTGGAAAAGAAGAAAATTGTGCTCATGAAATTATTATAAAGGATATGTGTGGAAATTGTGGAAAGGATTTAAGAATGTAAGTTTTTAAGTAAAGTTTTGTTTATTTTTGCGGACAAAATTATTTTTTTGCGGACGTTACTAAAATTTTGCGGACTAAACATTATTTACATTTTATCGAGTTTTTTATTTTTACTGATTTTATTTATTTTAAAATTTTCTTAAATCTTTACTCTTTCTTCAAATCCTTATTTTTGCGGACATACTTAAAAATATCTTTTGCGGACGTACCTGTTATTTGAAATCCATAGATATTTTATTCATATTTTTGCAACTTTTCTATTATTTTTAAATTTATTTTTTAGTAAGGGAGGATATTCTGGTGAGCGGACAGAGCCTGTTGGGGCAAATATTTCTATGATACATCACGTTCCAGAGCTTGTAGTTTCTAATGAGGTTTATTCTTTAAAATCCTTGTAATTTAAATTTTTATTAAAAAAATTATTCTGTTTAAGGTTGCAAGTCAATTGGGTGCCCGGGACCACGAAAACATTCTTCGTCAACGCAAATTGATTTTATTGTTAGATCTTGACCAAACATTGGTTCACACATCGAATAGGCCTCTAAAGCCTTGTGAAGCGGCATCGTCTACAGTTTAATGAATTTTTTTTGTTAAATTTTTTATATTAAAATTTAGAATTTATTTGGTTATCAACTTTTTGGAAATACTTTTTTTACAAAAATAAGGCCTTATACTCATCATTTTTTGGAACATATTAATAAATTGTATGAATTACATATTGTTACTTTCGGTTAGTTTTTTTTATTTTTTAATTGAGCTATTTTTGGATTTAGATTTTTTAATAATTTAACAATTATTTTGAATCTTTTAGAATTTTTTTCTATAATTTTACTTTTTAAATTATTTTTAAAAATCTAATTTAGGTCAACGTATGTATGCGCATAAAATTGCTGAATTGCTTGACCCAAATAAAATCTATTTTGATTATAGAGTTTTATCTAGAGATGAATTGTTGAGCAGGTTATTAAATTATCATATTTAGATTTTTTATTGACTAGGATTGAATTATTTTTGTTCATGCTTTCAATCTTTTTTTTTGGATTACTGAAAGCTTTTTGTATTCAATTTTATTTTTGTTAAAAAGATTTTTATTCTTTTTTCAGTATTCACAAGGCTGGAAATTTAAAAGCTTTATTTCCTTGTAGTGAACAATTAGTTTTAATGTTGGATGATAGACCGGATGTTTGGATGCATTCTGATGCTTTAATCAGAGTTTTTTAATTTAGTTTTTATTAATTTTTTCTTTTTTCAGTTAAAACCTTATCGTTTCTTTTTGGATGTTGGGGATATTAATTATCCTTTGGAAAAGGAAAATAAAGATTCTGACGAAAATAAGAAAAAGAATATTAATGAAAAAATTGTTGAAAAGAAGGAAATGGAGAAAAAGGAAAAAGAAGAGAAAGGAGAAGAAAGTTTAAATCAGAAAGGTTTGTTTAAGGTTTATTTTCAAATTGTGTTGGTCAAATTTTTTTGATTAGCGTATGTGAAATTAAAAAATTTTCTAGTCTTTTTATAAAAATCAAGGAATTCCGCAAATTTTATCCGCATATTTTTGTTGTTTTATTTTCATATTTTAGAATTTGATTTTTATGAAGTAGTTTAAAAAACAAATTAATTTTTTATAAAAATATTTTCCTGAATTTTTTAAATTAGAAAAGCTAAAGTAATATGTATTAAAAATTAGTGTTTAAAAAGAAATAAAAATTTATAAAATTATGTTTTTAATTTAGATATACCAAAATCTGAAGAATCTGAGGAAAATAAAAAATGTGATGAAGACGTGTCCAAAAAATCTGAATTAAAAATTGATTTACCTGATGAATTAAGTAAGCCAGTTACTCCTTTATCTGATAATGATAATGCTTTGGTATATATTGAACGTATATTGAAGGAGGTTTGTTTGGGATTTCTATACCAACAATAAATTTTGGTTTAAAATTTTACGATAATTTTAAATTGTTTTGGGGAACTTTTTGTTGATTTTTTTTGTTAAATTTTCAACTAGGGAAAAATATAGTGGCGTTTACTTTGGAATTTCAAACGCAAATCTTTTGGACGTATATTTTATTTTTTATAGTCGCATGCGAAAATTTTTTCGATTTGTAAGACAAATAAAAATTCTATTAAGATATTTAAAAAATTAAATAATCTAAAATGTAATAAATTTTAAGATCCATTCAATATTTTATGAGCAATATGATCGGGAAGGGCAAACTCCAAACGTCAAACACATTGTCTCCTGGCTTCGTTCTCAAGTTTTGAAAGGTGAACGTATAGTCTTTTCTGGTATAGTCCCGCTTGGAATTGATATTAATTCTTGCGAAATTTACCAACTTTGTACACAATTTGGAGCAAAAGTTGGAGAGAAAATTGTTAAAGGAGAAACTACCGTTTTGGTTGCTGCTAAAGCTGGAACTGAGTAAATTTCTTTAACTTTTTTGATAAGATTAGAATCTATTTAAGGATTAAGGAAAAAATATTTTATAAAAATTCTTCGCATAAATTATTCCATTTAACGTCTCCCCATGCACAAAATAAATTGCAGAATTTTGGATAGCAAAATTGAATTTGTCACCTAAAAATTTTTATCGGGCCTAAAAAAACTTACTCATTTTTTTGATTTTTAAAAATTAATTAAATTTTAAGACTTACTTAACCTAAAATTAAATTTATTCTTTGATTAATTTCAATATTTTTTTAGAAAAATTCGTCAAGCGAAACGTTTACGAATTCCCGTGGTCAGTGTTCGTTGGTTAGAAGCTTGTTATAAACGTTGGCAGAAACTTGATAAAAGGGATTTTTTATTTTGTGAAGAAGATTGTGCAGGTTGGAAATTGAAAAATTTAAATAATTAATTTTCTTTAAAAAGAATTTGGCGGTTCTTTGCACTCAAAAAAGCCACGTTTAAGCGAAACTTTATGTTCAAGTACAGAAATGGATCATTTTTCACAAATGGATACCCTTGACAAAAAGGCATTGCAGGAAATGGAAAATGAGGTATTTTTTGATTTTGAAATTATTTTAGAGTTTTTTTAATTTGAAGGGGATTTTTGAATCTTTGTAAAAAAATAAATTTGGATTAATTGGGAACCGGGTTTTTTCCACTTTTATGGTAATAATTACATATGTCAATAATTATAATAAAATCACTCAAAATCGGATTAGCTTGGTTAGACAGCATTGAAAAAGAGATATATGAAGTCTGGTACTTTAAAAATTAGGTAATAGTTTTATGTTAAAGTGAACTCAAGGTAAAGCTGTGAGAGTGTATTCTATTTAATTTTCTAATTAAATATAAATTAATATTATTTTCTACTAAATTTTAGGTAGATTGTGCCCTTTCTGAAGATGATGACGATGATAACGAGGCTTCCACTTCTTTCTATACTCAATTAAAAACAGAAAAGTATTGTGTTTTTTAAATTAAAAAATCAAATAAATTAATATATAGGGAAGATCAAGAGTTATCTGTTTCTGATAATGATAACAACAACAAATTTGTGGATGATATACTTCCAAATTTAAATGAAGAAGAAGATCCACAAGAATATAGTAAATGTCTTGATGAAAGTGAAATTCCGTTAAATGATGAGGAAGAAGATGAACAAGATTATATTGATTATGAAAATGAACATTTGGGGGAGAAGGAGTCGTCATCTGATGGGGGAAGTGAAGTGAAACAATATGGAAAAGAGGAGGCATCTCATGATGATGAAGAGGTGGGGGGACAATTTGAAAAGGAGGCATCTTATGGTGAAAGTGATGTGAGGCAGTTTGGAGATTCTGATACAAATGATGTAGGCTATTTGAATATTACATAATAATTTGCAATTATAAGGGGAGTTGCAATAATTAAATTATAAAATAATTAAAAAATTAAATCAAGTTAGGAAAAAATAAAAAATAAACTAGGAAAATGAACAAGACATAAAATATCAAAATAGAGGTTACTTGCTAATTGTCTAAGAAATTTTTTTTAATTGTTCAAAATTTAAAAATATTTATCTTATTTTTTTAGTTAAATGAAGATTATGATGAAATGGTGGCTGATATTGAACAGCAATTGAACGATAATAAATGACATTATTTAATTCTATTATTTAATTTTTCATCAATTCTAAATATAATATTTTCAATAAATTTAAAATATACTTATTTATAAAAAAATATTTTAAAAATATTATGAAAAAATAGTTAAGATTTTTTAAAAATTCTTTTATGAATTGTCAATGAAAATTATATATTTATTCTAACAATAAGATAACAAGAAATATTTAACAAAATTATGGGTAACAAGAAACAATTTTTATATGGAAAATAATAAAATACCCTAAATCCTCAAAATAATAGAACGTTGTGTACTTTTATTAACCATCCCTCATTTGAGGATAAAGTTAAATCCACTAACTTAAGGTCCATCTAGAGGAAATCAGAGGTGGGTCGGAACAGTCAGAGATGTCGGAAATCAGAAACCCACCTCTGAGAATTCCTCTTTGCTTTTTTCACATCATTTTGGATGGTGTGTGCTTAAATTGGTGTGGTTCTATTAAAAATTTACAATAATATACTATTACATACATATATTTAAATAATCAACAACAATTCTAATTTTTATATTTTCATCGTTTAAGTAATTCTCTTCAATTATTTCTTCCCTTCATTATTCCCTTCTTTCCTACAAAAACAATACCAACAGAGAACACCAACAACGCTAACAAGCCTTTAAATATATTTAAATGATTTGATTAACTCGAAAGTTCTTACAAAATAATATTCACAGCAATGAAGGTAATAGTAATGTATTCACGGATTTCTGCATTTCGTGAATGCATGGCAATTTCCTCAGCTGTTATCTTTTTCTCGTTTATTAAAATCCTGTAGTCTTTACCGCTCTGAAAATGAATAAATTTTTAATTTTGGAAATAATTTTGGTTAAACTCACAAATTTAATTTCAATTTTGCAGTTAGGTCCATTTAGAGGAGATTTCCTTTTAATATTATTCCCTTCACGCTGGAAAGAAGCCTTTTGTGGGAGAAGGTAGAAAGCTAGCAATTGTCTGTATCGAGAATCGAATTGAAGACTTTGATCTCTAATCTCCCAAGCTATTGGTTTAATTAGTCCTTTTTGTACTACGATTATACCATACCGATTTAAACATACAAAAGAATGGCATCCCGAGTTGGTTAAATAAAAACCCGTTTCAAAATTCTCTATTTTGAACCAATAAATGTGATCATCAACATGAACGTTAATTTCAGACTTTAAATTGTCCACTAGATTTTCACTGGGATGTTCACACACTACTGGCTCGCCAACTGTAAATAGATAAATTTAAGTTTTGAAGAGAAAAATTTATCTCCTTACTTGGTTGCATGCTCGCATGAACTTTATCTTCATTATATGCCCAACCAAACTCTAATGCACCAGGTTTCAAGCATTCTCCGCCACTTTGGCGGCACTCATCCTTCTTATCGCAAGAAATACCCTCCTCGTAGGGTCCTTCTTTTATCTTTTCAAAACGGTCAAAACCAATGCTGTATGCAAAAGGAACCCTTAAATTTGGAAGAATAGTCATTAAAAGAACAGTTTTCTCTTACATATTGGCATTAAATCCATCGGGCATTGCCTGAAGACATTCTTTAATCTCTTTGTTGTCGTTACTTAAAGTTGCTTTGAATTCGAACATAAAATTGAGAAATTTGTGTCCAATATCAATAGCACATCCAGTCTCCCGAACAGAGTTGTAGTTAAGAACGTTGAAAGAGGTATACTGATTTTGTATCAATTCCTTAAACTTACATATCCCCATTATCATCAAACTTCACATCGCAAGCATTCTCCGTCCCTTTGTAATCTGCTAGGTCCTCGTTGGTTTTTGCAATACGACTTGCTGTGCCAATTCGAGTAATTATATTGTTGACCATTGTGTGACGACCATACCCAACATAAGTAACCTCTTCTGACATAACACAATTAAGAGAAGTCCAAATAGCCAGGAGAATAACTAGAAGGGTGGTAAAACGAACACGGAGCATTGAGAAGAAGTAAAGTTTTTTAGTCGTAATAGGAGGATTTGTTGAAGATTGATAAAATATTTTAAAATTTATCTCTTGTCCAGTTCATGCGTCCCATGAAGAATGCGTCCCATTATTCCAATGGATCACACTACCGCGCACACACACACACACTATTCCAATGGATCACACTACTAACATAACAATTACATACAAATAATTTTTGTCTGGAAAAAACAAAATACAATCAAAATATTTAGATACCGTATTTACTCGAATAATTCCCCACCCTCTATTAATTCCCCATGCCACGGATGGGTTGAAAAAATAATTCCTCGGGGGAATTAATCGAGTAAATACGGTATGTATAATCAACAACAATTTTAATTTTTATATTTCCATCCTTTAATTCACTCAATTTATTTCTTCACTTCTTATTCCCTTCATCCCTACAAAAACAACACCAAAGAAGAACACCAACAACACTAGCAAGCCTTTAAATATATTTTAAAATAATTTGAATAATCTAAAAATTCTTACAAGACAATATTTACAGTAATCAAGGTAGCAGTAATTAATTCATCCCCCTTTGAAGTTCGCGTAGATCTTACATAATCCGGTTCATTTGTTGGCGTTTTCTCTTTCTCGTTTATTAAAAGCTTGTATTCTTGACCACTCTTAAATAAATTTTGAATTAGAAAATAAAATTACTTAAACTCACAAATTTAATTTCAATTTTGCAATTAGGTCCATTTAGAGGAGAATTCCTTTTAATAATATTCCCATCACGTCGGAAAGAAGCCTTTTGCGGGAGAAGGTAGAAAGCAAGCAATTGATCATAATAAGAATCTTCATGATTTTTATCTTCAATTTTCCAAGTTATCGGTTTAATTAATCCTTTCTCGAATATTATTTCATCATGTATTCCTAAACACACAAAAGAATGGCATCCTGAGTTAGACAAATAACAATGTCTTCCAACTTTTTCTATTTTGAACCAATAAAGGCCGTCATCAACACGGACACTGATTTCAGACTTTAAATTGTTCACATGATCATCCTTGAGAGGACATTGACACACAACAGGCTCACCAACTGTAAATAGATGTGTTAAAATTTAAAGAGAAAATTATTGTCCTTACCCGATTGCATACTCGCATGAACTTTATCTTCATTACATATAAGCCCAACCAAACTCTAATCCACCAGGTTTCAAGCACTCTCCGCCACGTTCGCGGCATTCAACCTTCTTATCGCAAGAAATATCCTCTCCCTCGTAAGGTCCTTCCTTCAGCTTTTCAAACCGTTCAGAGCCAATGCTGTATGCAAAAGGAACCCTTAAATTTAAAAGTTTTTTTCGAAGAAATTATTTTTTTCCACTCACATATTGGCATTAAATCCATCGGTGGACATTGGCTGAAGACACTCTTTAATCTCATTGTTGTCATTACTCAAAATTGCGTTAAATTCGAACGCATGACTCAAATATTGGTGTAAAAGATCGATGGCACATCCAGTCTCCCGAACGGAGTTGTAATTCAGAATGCTTAATTAATGTATGTATTAACTTTAACTTTTAACAATTCCTTAAACTTACATATCCCCATTATCATCAAACTTTACATCGCAAGCATTCTCCGTCCCTTTGTAATCTTCTAAGTCCTCGTTGCTATTTGCAATACGACTTGCTGTGCCAATTCGAGTAATTATATTGTTGACCATAGTGTGACGACCATACCCAACATAAGTAACCTCTTCTGACATAACACAATTAAGAGAAGTCCAAATAGCCAGGAGAATAACTAGAAGATTAGCAACACGAACACGAAGCATTGCAAGAAGAAAAGTTTGTAGTCGTAATAGGATTGGAAGAAAATTGATAAAATATGATAAAAATTATAAGCTTTTTATACACCCTTGATTTAGAATTACTAAATAAGGGCTACATGGATTTGTATTTGTTATAAATTATTTATATTTATTTTTAAATTATTTAAATAAAATTTAAAGACCCAAAAAAATTTTTTAAAATTAGAAAAATATTTTAAAAAAATTCATTTTTTCCTTTCAATCATCAGCATTCTTGACGACATTGTCATAAACGGGCTTTCCATGAGGTAATCCTTCTGGAGTCTCAAATTTGAAACCGTCAATACGGTATTGCATCCTTTAAAGTTTTGAGGATTAGTAAAATATTTTGTAGTTTTTTAAAATCATGATAACTAAAATTATTTTTACGTTGTTATATTATTAAGAAAAAAATTTTAAATAAAATTTCTTTTTAAAATATTTTAGTAAATTAAAGGACCATTCAGAATTACTCAAGAGCAACATCAAACCACGCAACTCAGCCATATTGTTCTTAAATTTAATTTTGGGTTAGTTTGTTTTAAAATTTGATAAGGACCCTGTGGAATACTAAAAACACTCTGATTTTTTATAAAGAAACCCTTAAAAAATTTTTGACGGGTGTCAAAAAAATTAGTAGAAATAATTAAATTTTGTAAAAATCAATTTAATAAATTGATAAAATTTTATAAAAATTTGTTTGCCTTGAACTTGCTTGGCACAATGTCTTTCAAAGGGATGGAAAGTTTTTTGTTAACTCCACAACTTTAATTAAATTAAAATAAATTTAATTAAAAAGACAATCGAACTTGTGTGTCACTTCAAGTTCAATTTCTCTAAAATAAGTTTCTTCGGGGTCGGTTCTAAAATTTAATATTAATAAATCTAAAAATATATTTATTTATTTAAAAATAATTTTTTAAATTTTTGTTAGGAGAAAAATAATGGAAATTTTGAGGGAAAAATGTTTAAAATTATTAATTTTTTGAACGATTTCCTATTTTCCCCATCAAATCAAAGTAACGGGTGAAGAGAATCAGAAAACCCTTTTGAATAGCCCCACCCCTTTTCCTTTAAAAATTAATTTCCACGCATACTTAATATTTTATTTTTAATATTTAAAATTTAAAATTTACGTTAATATTCCTTTACAAACTCTGTGGTACAAAACAGCCGCAATTGAGAAGGAAGAGGAATATGCATTTAAATATGCTTGGTATTTAATAGCATTTCCAACATCTTCAATAAGAGAACTTGAGGGATCTTGAGTTGAAACTAGAACGTCGTAGAATGTTTGTTGGGTTAAATTTAAGGTAAGTTCTCTGAAAAAAGATATAGTTTTAAATAATTATGTACATGTCTTTGTAAGGAAAACATTGTAAGGTTGATTCAACTAGAGCATTTAAAACGCTTAGACGGGAGTTAAACGATCTAAAAGGATAAAAGAAAAAGCAGTAGTCATCGCCCCGGTAGCTCAGAGGTGGAGCTCCTGTATATGGTGAGCGAAAGCCCCTAGCAATAACTGTCAAGAGGTCGCAGAATCCTGCTTTGTGGCAGGATTCTTTCTACACAATGGGAAAGCACATAGAAATTCTTCTTAAACTCATACTACTTTGCCTTTAAGAACACTAAAAAATATTTTTCTAAACTAACCCAGCAACATTTTTAGTTTCAGCGCAACTTGTAAATTTTGATCCTTGTTTCCAAGCATGTTTAAGTTGAATTGTTATTTCACTATCATTAGTTGGATGGCTATCGGAAGTACACAAAATACAGCCATCAATCATTAATAAAACAACATCTTTAAATTTATTTAAGGATTTTGAATAGTTTTTGGGAAATTTATAATTTTTTATTAAATAATTAGAAATTCGGGGTTTTATTAATAATCAACATTTCGATAACAAATTAATCCAAAATATTAAATATTTTATAAAAGTGGGTACTTGTATAGTTTACACCTCATAAGTAGAGCCAGGATTTTTAGGCAAATGCCTGTTTTTTCCTAGATAGGCTTGATGCTGAAACGTTCAAATCCGGTGTTAATTTACTAAAATATGCTTTCTAACTAGAGTTAAGCGGTATCGGGATTTAGAGAAAAACCCGGGATCGGGATTTTGGAATGGTGATCCCGATCCCGATCCCGGATCCCGACACGGGATCGGGATTGGCCGAAATCGGGATCGGGATTTGGAATGGAGATCCCGATCTCGATCCCGATCCCGAATCGGGACCGGGATTGAAAAATCGGGATCGGGATTAACTAAAAAATTTTTTTTAATTTTTAAATTTTTATTTTTTCACATACGACTCTGTATTATTTAAAAATTGCCACTGCTGTGCTGAAATATTGAGTTTATGTCTCATAGACGCATGATTTACTTTCCGGTTCAGGGGATTAAGGGAGGATAAGGTAATGGGGGGAGGGGGGGGGGTCAGGAATAAATGAGACTGGGCTTCTTCCATTTTAAGCGCCGCAGGCAAAAATTTTGAAAAATTTGGAAGGCCAAGGTGCCGGATTCTTTGCCTTTTAAGCGCCGAAGGCAATATTTTTTTATTTTGGAAGGCCAAGGGTATCAATCTAAACGTTCAAGTCTATAAGATTAAGTGCGTGACGTTCAAATGTGGACGATTAAGAACTGAGATTGAGGGGTTAAGTGATAACTCATGTAGTAATATCTCTTAAACCCTCGATTTCTCTTCAAATCTAACTTAATCCCTGTAAATTCACCGATATCCTTCTATACTCCAAATCCACCGATACTCCCCTCAACCCCTCTTGATCGCTCGATATCACACCAAATCACTCAATATTTCGTTAAAGTTTTAAAGACAGTGATTAAGGAATCTCTATAATGCCTTAGTCACTCCCTTTTCTGCGCCGCAGGCGAAAATTTTGAGAATTTTGGATTTCAGTAAGCCAAATTTCTTCCTTTTCCTGCGCCGCAGGCGAAAATTTTTTCTTACTTTCATGCCTCCCCTCTTCTGTTAACTTTATTACGCAGACTTCTAGTCAATTTATAAAGTCGGGATTTTCATCGGGATCTGATGCACATCCCGATCCCGATCCCGGATCCCGGCTCGGGATTGAGATTGGCCGGGATCAAGATCGGGATATATATTTCGGGAGCGGGATCAGAAAAATCGGGATCGGGATTCGAAAAACCCGGGATAATCCCGCCCGATCCCGACCGGGATCCCGATCCCGCTCAACCCTATTTCTAACTACTTTTATCGTTGCCTAAAATTGCCTATTTCAACTTTTTCTGGAAAAGTGCCCTATTTTGCCTTTTTTCAGCCTATTTTGCATATTTTTACTAAAATTTGCGAATTTTTGGGCATTTATTGAGAAAATTGTTTTCTAAAAAATTTTTTTCTTCTAAAATATAAAATTTTTCCAAAAAATTTTTGTCAAAAAATTTTTGCGAGAAAAATTTTCTTCTGAAAAATTTATCAATTTATTTTTGGAAACAAAATACTTAATATAAATTAATTTATATGTATAATTCTGATCGTCAAAATTAATTTATTTAACAGTTTTTTGCTTAGATTTATCTTTTTTGATAAAATTTAATCAATTTAAATCAGAAAATCTCGAAAAAATACTGCCTATTTTGCCTTTTTTTCGGATTTTGGTGCGTATTTTGGCAGTTTTTAAGTGCCCTATATATGCGCCTATTTTTAACTTTATCGTGCCTAAAAATCCTGGCTCTACTCATAAGCCCTGCCCTTCTGTCCTCTTTTCCTTAAAAGAAAATGTCTCTAAAGATATTGGCGGTCATTTTATAGGAGGAAGAGCGAAAAAAAAATGATGAGAAAGAAAGGGGCGGGGCTTATGGGGTGTAAACTACACAAGTGCCAAAAAGTTAAAAGAAGTGCGAAGGCACACATCGAGATTCTTTGTCCAAACCTTTCTGGGCTATTTTAATCTGTCTCAAGTCTTGCAAATATTTTCAAATTTTCATAAATATTTTTTAATTTATTATAATTAAAAAGTGTTTTTAATATTTTACCCGACGGGGGATCTCCAATTTTGACTTGATAGGGGTTTTGATTTTTGTAAAAGTCTACCTAAAAATTATTTTAAAAAATTTAATTTTAAATTTTAAATTTAAAATTACCATAGCACAATATTTAATTTGTGAATACCATTCATCTCCACAGAGTGGCTGCTTTAAATAAAATTTAAATTTAACAATTAAAAAGAAGTCTCTCAACCATAGCAACTTGATGGAATTGGAACAGGCAAAAACGTTCTGCCTCCATTTTATATTCATTATTATCTTCATCGGCTGGTTTAAAAGCATTTGGATATTTTAATTTTGGCTGTTCATATTTTTTTGTTGTTGTGTTAAACCACTTTTTAAAAATTTTTGTTAATTAAAAATTTTTTAAATTTTTCTCACTCCACAACGTCCATCCTTTCCATAATAGGCATGAGCTCCTTTTCTCATCGGTTTTGATAAGTTAAGCCATGAGGGGCTAAAATCAACTCCGGTTACTGGTGATACTCCATATATTGCTATAAATTTTGGGTAAAGATTTGAATTTTAAAATTTATTTTTAAAATTGTTAAAAGACAGAAAAATTCTTTTAAATTAATTAGCCAGTATATCCCCTTCAATTATTTGGTATCCCTTCATAAGAAATTTTTTTGTATTCCCTCTAAAAGTTAAAATTATTTGTTTTCTAGCTATAAGTATAAACTTGAGAATAATTTAAAATTTTCTTAAATACAGCAGGGACTTGCCGACATAAAAAATAAATTCCATGATTTTGGGAATCGGGACGATCCCTGGTTAATAATTTCTCGATTAATTGCCTGTTTCTCTCCCCTATTTCTCAAGATTATATTGAAGAATTAAATGATTTGTTTTCATTTTAATTTAATAAATAAAGCACAGATTTTATTAAATTTGATTAATTAAGAATTTAAAACTTCAATTTAAAATTTAAATTAACAACTACATACATTCCTCGCCCTTCCCAAACAAAACAAAAATCCCCAGAAAAATAAAAAATTTTAAATAAAACATTTTTTAATATTTTTATTTTTTTGAAAAAAAATTGTTAGAAATAAATTTTATAATTTTATTTTAAATTTAATAATCTGTAATTAATAAATTAATCTGTGACACAACATAAATATTTTTTAAATTAAAAATAAAAATATATACTAAATAGAAAAATATGCACATACTATTTTTTATTTATTTTATTAATTAGTCATTTAATTAAATATTAATTTAAAAAATATGTAAACTACTGATTTAGTTAGTATGTTGTTAAAATGGTTTTCCAGCAAATTTAAACACAACAGAAATTGAGATAAAAATTGGGAAAAAAGTTTGTGAAGGAAATTTGTTAAAGAATTAATCTAATAATTTGAAATTTTTAAAAATTTATGTAATAAATTTTTAATTAAAAAACTTTTAACTTATATGTATATGAATGTGTATTTAATTATATGTTTTAATTATATACATTAACTCATTAAATGTATATTTTGTATATTTTAATGTGAATTAAGTATAGTAAAGCAGCTAGGCTATATTTCTCTCCTTTAGCTAGTGCAAAAGGTTATTCGGTGGCTGAGAGAGAACCAGCATCTTAAGTAGACCGGACTGATGTCTTATCCATTACACCACGCCGCATACTGCACAAAAAATCAAGACCCAGACTAAACACCAAGACCGAGGTTCAGATCTTTCAATTGCAAAAAACGGAATTTTTACCTCTAAGAACCTTACGGGAATATATTTAGGGGTTAGCGTCTCATCGCGTAGAAATTTTGTGATTCTATGGTGATTTTAGTTTTCCTTTCTTACGCCTCATGAGAAAACTTTGGTAATTTTGAAAGGTTTTTTAGAACAACAAAATCATTTTCATTAATTTAATAAGTCATAAGCTTTTCTGAACCAAGCTCTTTTGGTATGAATAAACAAAAAATAATAAAGTTTAGCAAAAAATAAAATTTAAATTTTAGCAAAACTTGCCATTTATTTACAAAAATAGAAAATAAACGAGGCAAAGTATAAGATAGAATAAAAAAATATTTTTATAAAATATCCAAATTTGGTATTTTTATATGAATATAAACAAAAATAAAAATTTTTAGAGAGTAGCTAAAATTCTTATTTAAAAACAAAAATAGAAAATAAACCCTTTAAACTTAACTTTTACCTTTAAAATACCCAGTTGATTAAATATAATAGATAAAACTTGTGTTTTATGTTTATTTGGGAATCCTTTAAGTAAAATTGGAGATTGGAGAACATAAATACAGTTGTTTTGAGATGGGCAATAAATCATTTTAATTAAATAAAATTTTTATTTTAAAACAAAATATTAATCCAAAATTATATCCACCATAGATTTTAGCTCAGTTTTTATCAATTTTTATATTGGGTGCTTTTCTAATTTAAAAATTTAAATAAATTAATATTAAAAATATAAAGAGCAGGCCAACGCACCGTTAGCCCAACGTACCGCAGAGCTTTAACTTTGTTCAAAATAGTCAAATCCGGGACGCAGTGGTATGGTTCGATACGTCTCGACGAGCTGAATTGTACCATATCAGGGCGTCCCGGGTTCGACCATTTTGAACGAAGTTATAGCTCTGCGGTTTGTCTGCGGTACCCTAAAAAATACACATGTATTAATTATAAAATTAAGTAATTTAAGAATTTAAATTAAGAAAAAAATGTTTTCATCTTCAACCAAAATTTATTTATTTTTTCTTTCAATTTTTGTGTTATTCCAATTAAACAATGGTGGCTGTGTTGGCTTCGGTGGGAAATGTAGTGGAAAAGGACAGGGCAATTGTTGTCTTGGTGGAAGTTGTACTAAAGGAAATTGTTGTATTGCTAAAGGGGAATATTGTCTTCCAACCTATCATGCTCAATGCTGTCCAGGTACAACTTGTAAGACTGATGTTGGGAGGAATAATGAGAAATGCATGTAATGAAATTGGAAAAAAAAAGATGTTTATGAACTGAGGATGTGTTAAAGTAATTTTACAAACGGGAAACATTTTTAATTTTCCTTTCCTTAATTTGGCTGTTAAATTCTTTTCTTTAAACTTTTCTTTTGCCGAATAAAACAAAAAAATACATAAAGGTTAATTTCAAAGTAAATAAATACCGTATTTTTCCCAATAGAAGCGCATGCGCTTCTATTTTTCAACCCCCTCGTAGACTGCGCTTCTATTGGGACGTGCGCTTCAAATGGGACGTGCGCTTGTATTTTTCAACTCCTATACGAATTAATTTTTATAACATAGAAATTTAAAACAAATATTAAATCTATATAAAATTATCAATTTCAATTCCGTTTATATTGTCTTAATTAAGATTAGGGTTGCCGTTTTTGAGTCGGGCCGATGGTTGAGGCATTTTTCGGGCTTGTTTTTATCGCGTCAGGCCGAAACGAGTCACTTTCGGACCTGACTTTATCGAGTCGGGCACCGAGGCATTTTCGAGTCCTTTTTAAAAAGATTTATTTAAAAATAATTAGTGGATTTGGAGGGAATCTGAGAATTGAAAGGTATATTGATGAATCTGGAGGGTAAAGGAAGGGCTGAAGAGAATTGAGATGGATATCAGTAGATATCCAAATCCCCTAATAAAATCCCACTGTGTTCTAAAATCCCTAGTATCCTTGTTAATGCTCTAAATCCATCATAATTTCTCCTAAAGCTTCTTTATCGCTTCATTGACAGTAAACAAGAAAGAAATCTGGCACTTGGTCTTCCAAAAGTCTTTAACTTTTCGACTCCGGCGGCAAAAAGGATGATCACTGATATATGTAGGAAAATCACTGATATATGTATCACTGGTGCGTTTTCGAGTATAGCACCGGTTACATCACTTGAACATAGCACCGGTTATATTATCTAAGCATCAATTTCCGAACCGGAAGTAGAATTGATTTTTACTAAAAAGTATAAATTCTTAATCTAAATGTAAATGAATAATACTTGTTTAAAATAGTAACTATGTAACAGAGTAATTGCTCAAATAAGTATTTCATAGGGTGCGCTTATAATAGGACGTGCGCTTCTAATGGGACCTGCGCTTGTATTTTTCAACCTCCTCGTAGACTGCGCTTCTAATGGGACGTGCGCTTCAAATGGGACGTGCGCTTCTATTGGGAAAAATACGGTAGATTAATTTTGCAAATAAAAGTACAATTTACAAAATTCATTCCTGATCAGTCTTGATTTTGGTTTTGATTGCACTTTTAAAATTTTCAAACACTAAAGAAGCCAAAATTTAATTTTCAAAATTTCTTACAAAAATTCTTTATTCAAAATTTCTTTCAATTTTCCCCTCGACTCATTGAGAAAATGCAATGCCCCTTTCCATTTGAATGCCCTTTTGAAGGGCTGTTTTGATTTCTTTCAGTATATTAATAAGAACAGAAAATTGAAATAAAACTAGTATGCAAAGTCCTGTTCGAAATTTTAAAACCCAATCTTGATTCAGGATCCTGCAAATGTGATTTTACCGACCTCTACTTACATTTAATTACTGTGTAATTTTCGAATTTTCGTTTTTATGGCATTCTGTTTACATTAAATAAATTGTGGAAAAAAGTCGGCAGAGTATAGAAATCACTTGTGCGCATTTACCCGATTATACATAGCTTTATCTAATTCAATCCTGTTAAGTAAAATAATCTTAACATCCAGAGCTTTTTTGGTAATGTATTTAATTTATTAAAAACTAAATTATTTATGACCCAAAATATGGGCTCTGAAGCTGGGACTCAAACGTCTTGTTCCAAAACTGTACAAGTTAGAGAACTGGATAAAATAGAAGGGCATACAAATAAGTTTATAAATTTATTTTTTTATTAGTCATTGTTGAAGTTTTGTATTAGTTATTTTTCTTGTTATTATTTTTAAGAAAATTTTTATTTTGAAAAAAAAAATTTTTTTTAATTTATTGACTTTAATTTATTGACCGGTTTTTATTACTTATTTTTAACTACTTAATTATTTGCTCAAATGTCAACAAGTAAAGAGGATGTTGAAAGTAAACAATTTTTTGTTTAAAAAAATTTTTTTGGAATTTTAGTGACCTCAGATTCTTCTGGAATTGCTCAAAAACGACATCGGCCACTTAAAAGGACTCCTTCAACTTCTGTTCCTCGTAAGTTTACAAATTTATTAAAAATATTTTTTTTTTAATTCTGTCCTTTCTAAAAATTGTTTTTTGGGTTTTCTTGTGGGAAAAGGTTTAAAAAATTCACTCCGATCTCTATTTTCTAGTGACCGGACCGGATCCGGCCTGGTTTTTCCGGAGTCCGGGTCCCAAAACCGGATTTTTTTAAACAATTTCCGGATAAATCTGGACCGGATTTATCTGAAAAAAATCCGGCCGTATCCGATCCGGCTCCAGTTGCATATCCGGTTCCGGAAAATCATTTTACCGGTCACTACTATTTTCTATTAAAAATTCTCGTTAAATTTTCTCAGAATTCTGAGCTTTGTAGATGTCTTCTCTTTTCTTTCTTAATCTACCCTGTTTGAAAATAAAATTTCAAAAATCATTTTTCAATCAAAAAATGGTCCCATCTTTGCAATTTAATTATTAAATAATTTAATGTCAACGCCTTCCGACTCTCTTTCCATTTTTTCTTGGCGTTCTTTCCTTCCCGTGGTTATCATAAGGAAATATTGTTCACATATATTTTTGTTTATTTCTTCTAAAAATGAGTAATTTTTACTAAAAAATATTTTTTGTAAAAAAATTCTCTCCAAAAATTTTCTTAAAAATTCCCTCCTTTTCTCTCTCACATTTTTTTCCTGCCCATCCAATAAATGAAATCAAAACAATTAATTATTCCCGACGGGACAGAAGCTACATTTTCCAATTCTTTAAGTATTTTATTGTCTAATAATAATGGTAATGTTGTTGAACAACAAAGAAAATTTAAAAGACGTCGAATTTTTTCGATTTGCAAATTTTTTGATTGTCGTGAGTTTGAGGGATAAATTTTTGTAAATTAAAATAAAACAAGCTTTTTTTAATGTATTTTTTAATTAATTGGAGATCGGAGTTAGAATTATTTTCTTTAGATTTCTTAGCTATTTTAAAAATCCCAAATTTAATTTAGAACGACCCCCCCCCCCCCACCCCAATTTTTAAAATATTTTTTTTTCATTTTTTTGTTTATTTTTCCCACAACCGTTCATTAAAATTTGAGGGTTCTCTAAAAAAATATTTTTTTAAATTTTTAATTAGATATTTAGATCTTATCAGTAATTTCTAAATTTAAAGCAATGCCCTGGTTTGGTATTGACATTGGTGGTACTTTGACTAAATTAGTTTATTTTGAACCTACTGACCTTGACGAATATGTGGAATCCCCCGACGAACAAATTCGTGAAAAGACAATTCATCGATATTTGACAACAAACAAAGCTTATGGAGAAACTGGAGTTAGGGATGTTAATTTGGAATTGTCTGGTGTTCGAATTAATGTTTGTTTGTTGTTTATTTATTTTATTTTTTAAAATTGGCTAGACATTTTAAAAACAAAAAAAAATTATTTTGTGGTTAAGTGGGAAAATTTTTGATTTCCTCCTATATCCCTCCAAGGTTCGAATCCTTTTGCTAGAAAAGGATTTTTCTTTTTATAATTTTGCTTTTTTTGTAGTTTTTAATCCCTTTTTAATTTATCAAAAAAATAATTTGTTTAGGATCGTAAAGGCATAATTCACTTCATTCGTTTTCCAACTGACCGCATGTTGAATTTTGTTCGTTTAGTTAAAGAAAAAGGATTTGCCCAAATGAGTAGCACAGTTTGTGCAACTGGTGGGGGTGCAGAAAAATATGCAAAAGTGGCTGAAGAGGTTTTAAAAAAAATTTTTAAATTTACATTTTAAATTTAGGAACTTGGAATGTATTTTCACAAATCAGAAGAAATGAGGTCTTTAATTAAAGGTTCTTTTAAATAAATTATTTGGTTTACAAATTATATTTTTAGGGATTGAATTTGTTGCTCAAAATAATTTGGACGAATGCTATTATTATGACAATCCATTGAGCAAGGATTATAAGAAGGTTATTTGGTTAGTTTTTTTTGTGAGAATTTTCAAAAAAATAGTTGAGGGATTCAGAAATTTTCTTTTTGGCATTTTTATAATTTAAAATTTCCTTATCAAATTTAAGTAAATTTTAATATGTGTATTCAGTGGTCATGTCAATTTTCTTGTTTTTAGGCGTTGGTCGAGCGCGCGTTGCTCAACTACTGACCACATTCACGATGACAAAAAATGTCCACCTCCTGAAGGTTTTTTTAATATTTTTATATCAAATTACCAAAATCTTAATGAGTTTTTCTAAATTTCTTTCACATCAAATAATTTTGGTTTTTTGGCAGCACTCTCTAAAAATTATAAATTCCGATTGGCTTCCTTCCGGAAATATTTTCTTTTCTCGTCTTTGAATTTTTTAAAATTATTGTATTAGACAGCGGAACGAGATCGGGACCTGGTCCTTTTTTCCGGCTTTTTGAAGATGCCGGAATGAAACCGGGATCGGGAATTCCCGGTTCCGGATCCCGACATGGTTTCTTCTGCTACAAATTCCTGCTTCCGGTTTTTTTTCAAAATTCCGCTCTCTATATTAGATTTTGATATCAATTTTTCGTTTAGAAAATTTTTATATAGGAAAAATTGCCACACGAAATCAAATAATATTCAAAATAAATTTTCAGGCCTTCAATATCCCTATATTGTTTGTAATATTGGCTCAGGCGTTTCAGTTGTTCTTGTTCGTTCCCATAATGACTTTAAACGTGTAAGCGGTTCTTCAATTGGTGGCGGCTTTTTCCAAGGACTTTGTTTTTGGCTTTGTGGTTGTGAGACTTTTGAGGAAGCAATTGAATTGGCAACTAAAGGGGACAACAAAAAAGTGGATAAATTGGTTGGGGATATTTATGGAACTGATTATGATGCTGCTGGTTTGCCGAGTGATGTTATTGCTGCTAGGTTTGGAAATACTTTTTTTTATTTTTGTCTAAATACAGGCCCGTAGCGCCAAAAATTTAGCGCAGAAAAATTTTCCCCCTTAGCCCCCCCCCCCCAAAAAAAAATCTGGCTACGGGACTGTCTAGATAGAATAGTTTTAGGGAAGAACCCTTTAATTTTTTGATTAGGTCTTATTTTATTTCCAATTTTTTTACTATTCTAATAAAGAAATTAACTAGTGGACCTCCACTAAAAATTATAAAAAAATTTTTTATGTTCAAAGACATTTGGTTTTTTAGCATTCTTTCTAAAAATCTCAGTTATTCAATTCTTTCCCCAATCTATTTTATATTTAATTCAGATTATCAATAGATAAAGCCAATATTTTTTTTAAAATCTAACCTCCTAAATTTAAAAAAATATTTAAGTTTTGGCAAAGTATTCAACAAAGAAGATGCTAAAAACATCAAAAAGGAAGATTTGGCTGCAGCGGCATTGGTAACCACAGCAAATAATATTGGTTCAATTGCGCTGAATATAGCTAATCATCATGGAATTGAAAGAATTGTTTTTGCTGGTAAGACAGAATTTTTATTTTCAAAAAAAATTTTTGTTTCCAAGAAATTTATTTGAAATTTCAATTTTGTTTAAAAATTTCAAAAATTTTTCTAAAAATTTTTAGGCAATTTTCTCCGTGTCAATCCAATAGCCGCTCGTTTACTGGCCCATGCAATGAACTTTTGGTCTAAAGGAACAAAGAAAGCTTTGTTTTTAATTCATGAAGGCTATTTTGGTGCTGTTGGTTGTCTCGATAAATTAGTTGATGTAACGAATACTAGAAGGATGGAAAAGAATAGTAAAAGCACAACACCTTCACAGGGAAGTAGTTCGGCTGGGGAAGATAAAGAAGGAAGTGTTGAGGGAGGGGAAAATGTTGTTAAAGATGACGAGGAAATGAAAACTCCGAGAGAATGAGAGGGAGTAAATAAATAAATAATTTTAGTAAATTTAAGAAAAAAAGAATATGTATACCTAAATTTTTATTTTTTAAAAATAAAAAGAAATGTTTGAGAGTAAAAAATAAAAATATAATTTTCAATTCACCTCGAATTAATTATTTATTAAATATTCTCAAACATTTTTCCAGACATTTTATATACATAATTTATTTTTTATTTTATAACCAAAGACAAATTAAAATTTTAAAAATTATTAAAAAGTTTATATTTATTTTAGATGAAAGAATTTTTATTTTCTTTAAATTATTTTTTAAAGAGAAGTTCGATTTAAGATAAGCTGTCTTGTCTAATTTTGTTTTTATTGACAAGATGTTTTGTTTATTTATAAAGGTTTTTTCTTAAAATATTTGTGTAACGATTATAAGGAAAGTTCGAATTTTTATTTATTGTTACTATGGCTGGGGCCCGGTCTGGTCCGAAAGATCGAGTTGGGCATCGAATTTTGGCCGAAGAAGACTCGGTCGGTCCGGTCCGATAAAAATGAGACTAGGAAAAAATGACTGACAAACCCCAACGCTAAATATTACACTTATTCACCTAAATTGATTTGCCCAAACTTTATTAAATTTTAAATTGTTCGAAATACATAACAATTTCGAAAAACATCGATGCAATTTTTTTTGAAATCGAGACTGAGATCATCGATAGGCTAAAAAGTTTGGTCTCTGATTTTAAATTTAATTTTATTTGTTAAATATGAATATTAAATATTTTTTTATAATTTTTTTATTCATTCCCAAACCCATAAATTTTAAATTAAATAGACAGGACAGATTAAAGCTTTAAATTTAAAAGAAAGAAAGGAAAGTTGAAACTTGTCTTCTTTTTAAATTATTTTTTTCCAGGAATACCCAAAATAGATTTACATGTATCTACTTCACAATATAATCCATAACAACATCCATCTGTTCCATATTTTCCAATATCATTTGAATTACACGGTCCTTTAGAACAATTTCCCTTAAAACATTTGTAGACACCATTTCCTGTATGTTTACAATTTAATCCATCACAACAAACTTTATCATAATTATTACACATTGTTGTATTACGCCCAATACAATTAGCGATAGTAGTTGCTTTTGTGGTGGTTTGGTGTTGGATACATTGAATGTTAATTAATTGAAATAATAAAATTGTAAAAATAATTAAGAGACAAAAATTAATTGAAGAATTAATAAACATTTTTTTTAATTGTTTAAAATTGAGGTCCAACTAAAATAAAATTGACAGAAAATAATTAAAATTGAGTGAAATAATTTATAAATTTTATTTAATAATTTATAAAATTTAATTTTGCTTTGTTGGCAAATTTATTTTAAATTTTTTGAGCCAAAAAAAATAATTTTTTCTAATTAAATTCTATATAGAAATGATTTTTTTAAAATTAAATTTCTCTTTAAAATATTAAAACTATTTTTAAAGCCTTGCTGTTTAAATATTTTAATACGTATTTTTATGTAAAATTTAGCATAAACTATAAATTTTTTTATTTGCTGGAGTTGAAGAAATTTTTTTTATTAAATTTTAAAATTGAATTTATTTAAATTGATGCTGATTGAGATCAGCATCAATTTAAATAAAATTAATTTAACTGAGTAAATAATTCTAAAAAATTTATACTGTCTGACAAAATTTCTAAAAAAAAATTTCCTTTTCATTATTTTCATTTAAAAAATTTTAAAAATTACAATAGATTTTTGCTTTAATGGAGTTACATAAGAAAAATACCCTATTCGACCTCTTTCTTGAGGAAATAGTTTATCTTACTATTCCCTCAAGTAGTTAACATGTCCTTGCTGTTTAAATATTAACGCTTTAACGAATTAAACTAAAAAATAAAATTTTTATTTAAAATTTATTTCTTATCATTTTGTCTTGTAATGTGGCACCTTTTTTTTAATTCGAGGAATAAATTTGACGTAGACAAAATTGCCATTTTAAATTTTGTATTTGAAATTAATTATAGTTTTTAATTTAAAAAGTTAATTTTTAAAATAATTCTTTGAGTTTTTAAAGTTGTTTAAACAAAAATTATTTTCCAAAATTTAAATTTTTATTAGTAAAATGCGTCAAAGCAAAATAAAATTTGCGTCATAAACAAAAGAGAATCTCTCAATTAGTACCCAAATCAATAATTTCCTCTCCCTCCATGCTTGTCAAAATTTTATAAATTCTTTGTGCCATAACTGGGCCTAATCTTCTACCACTTTCTCCTTTAATTTCTGACAATTTAAACATTGAATTGCCTGGAGAATTTGTTAAATCCATCAAATTAGACATTAATCTTTAAATAAAAATTATTTTTTAAATTGAAATTATTTTTTTACTTTATTGGATTTGGATGTTCTTTTATAATTGCTCGACGTTGTTCTTCACTTAATCTAGGCACATGTTCCAACATTCTAGTCCACCAATCAGTCACCATACCTGGACCTTCCGATATTCCTTTAGAAACGGCAAAGTGATTTGAAGCAATTCCGACTAATTCAGCCTGAAAATTTTAATATTATGTAAATCCATCGCTAGAATTTAAATTTTTATAGACCGTTTATTAAAAAAATTTATATAAAAAATTTTTTTCTTTTTAAATTTAAAAAACTTTAATTATTTTTAATTATCTTCGAAATCTAAAATTAATTTAAAAAAAAACAAAATTCACCATAGCCAGTTTATCACTTTTCTTTTCTGCCTTAGCCAAAGCTCTATGCATTTGAACAACCAAAAAGGAAAAATCCAAAACATCGGGAACCATACGAATTTGAGCACGATAACGTTCATAAGCCTCGAATATTAAAGACGAAAGCTGGAAAAAAGAGAAGTTTTTTCTTCAAAAACCCCCCAACTCACAATATTTTCTCGAATTGAATGTTTCCCCAACACAATTAATTTAAGACGAACATCTTCTTTAGTTTGCTTTTTATGTGCCACAGTTTGTTCTTTTATAAAATTAATAACACCTTCTTTTGTTTTAGCTAATACAGTGAAAGTTTCAGCACTTAATACACAACAAAACCATGATTGTAATTCCTAAAAAAGAAATAAAAATAATTTTTGGGAAGTTAGGCAGCAGGATATCACAAAAGTTATCTGAAAGCCGATCAGAGAAATTTTCGAAACTCCTATCCAAAAATCAGTGTCGAGCTAACAAACGGAACGGACAAGTCGCAAAACGACAAGTCACGGTTTTGATCATTCCGTGAGTTAGCCCCCACCCCCCGAAAATCTACGATAATTTTTTCTCAAGCCATTATATCCCTGTAGACAGACAATGTATATTTAAGTTGAAGTTACTCTAATTTTAACAAAAAAAATTTCATTAAAAATCCTCACCATATTCTCCGATTTATTCAATTTTCCTTGATCAATACAAGCTTCTATTCGCTTACGCCTCCAAGTAATTCTCATCAAATTCCCCGTACTATTTTCATAAATTAATTGATTTGGAATTCCTCTTTCATTAAATCTTGTATTTAATTCCTCACGTAAATTATCTTTTTTGTTAAAATTTATTTAAAAAAATTTTTTTAAATTTAAATTACCATTAATTGTTAATATTCTATTAGAAAAATAACAAAACAAATATTGTTCACATTTTGTATTTTTTGCAGATTGCATTTCACGTTGAACACGAATAACTTCTTTTTGAAGCTTTAAAAATAAAAATTTAAAAATAAAAAAACAGAAAATTTTTAATTTCTACCTTTTCTGCTTCAATTTCCTCTTTTGTCCTCTTCTTACGTTTTTTCGCTGCTGGTTGAGCCTCTTCTTCTTCTCCAACATTTTTTTCATTATTTACTTCACAATTTTCACTCAAAAATGCATTTTTGTTCTCTTTATTAATTAAACTTCGTTTTGAAGAATTATTACTATTTTGTGAACTAGTAGAAGGTTGTAAATTATTTATTGGAGATAAATCATTTGAATAAAGAAAATCATCTTCTGCTCCAAAATATAAAGGTGGGGGAGGAGAAATATTGTTAAAAGAATTGTTATTTAAATGTTGTGGAGTAGTTGGTGTTTTTTGATTTATTGAAAAGTTGAAAATGTCAGAATTTTGTTTTGTGTTAAAAGTTGAAGGAATCTAATTTAGAAAAATAAAGCTTATTAAAAGAAAAATATCATAGCTTCTTTTTGAAGCTTTAAAAATAAATTTACCCCCCTCCACAAGAAGACCATGCAACTAGAAATCTATCATTGACAACCTAACACATAAACGATGAATATTCTATTTTTTAATACAAAAGAGCTGTACATGCTAACCCCTCCTTTGTTCAAATTTATCAACCGGACCACAAACGCCTGTTCATCCTAATAAAATCAATTTAAAAATTAAAACCTCCTCAATATGAACTTGTTGTTTGTCTGTTAAAGCAATTTCATTTTCGCCTCCACTGTCGTCTGATAAAAAAATTATTCCAGAAGTGTTATTCATTGACTATAAATGTTAATTTTAGAAAAAAGCAAAAGAATTTTGAAGTTTAAAAATAAAAAAAATTTTTTTGAAAATTAAACAAACTAATGAAATTTAATTTTAAAAATTTATTTTATACTGCAAAATATACATTTCTACTTTACACTAGAAAATTTGAAAATCAAAATAAAGTTTGATATTCACGACAAAAAAATTTAATAAAAAAAGAAAAATAAAGATATGGAATGATTGAGCAATAAAAACCGACGAAAATAAAATGTTAAATTGTATACGAGCTACATGAAATCTCCATTTATACAGCTGAACGATTTAATTGTGAATCACTTTGAGCCCAACACAAAGCCTAAAATAATCTTTAAGAAAATCAAAATTAATGATTAATTCTAAAAATTAATTCTCGCGTATTTTTGAGTATTAAACTACTGAACAAAAAAGTTTAAAACAGTCTAAATTTAAGTAAAAATTTAAATAAATACCTTTTCCTGGAAAGACGCGCCCAACATCACCAATAGATTTTAAAGTTTTCATTTTTGGACTTTTGACAACTTCTCCAATAATACAAATATCCTCATCATTTTCATCATCAAAAATAAAACAATTAAAATTATTATTGTTACTGGAAGAGGACGAAGGAAAATTAGTTAAATCAGTGCTGGCTTTTTCTAAAGCTTTGAAAAATAAATTTTATTCAAATTTTTAATAAAAATAAATTTTGTTTTTAATAAAATTGATGAGATAAAAAACCGCTCACGCTCAAAAATAAAATTAGGAAATAAGGGGAAGCCAAAAACTGTTATTCGAAAAATATAATGAGAAGAAATTTAAATAGAAAAAGACAGGTTAAGAAGGCAAGAAGTCATATAAGATGTCAAGAGATTAAAATAATAAAAATGTCCTAACCTTCCACAGAAAAGATTCGATCAATTCTCGGTTGATTTTGGTCACTCACTTCTTGTAACATAGGTTTTATTTTCCTTTTTCTTCCAGAAGCACCTTCCCCTGACTTTTCCTGGGATTTTTCAGGTTCCTTTACTTTGACATAATCACCTTTAAAATAATTTTTTGAATTTATTTTAAAAAATAACCTCCACAGTCCATTTGATGTTGTTTCCACCAATAATCATAGGGACCAGGTTTTCGATTAACTGCTCTTTTAACCCATCCATAATAAGGAGCGCGTTCCTTACAGGGGCCAGAACATCTCCACCAGTGTTGTTTATAGTGAGTTACCTAACATCGAATATTAAGAAAATTTGAAAAATAAATGGGCTTTTGGCTTTATTAGAGGAAAAATTAGAAACATGTTTCTTCACTATGACAGTGCCAAAAATTTAAAATACAATTTTCAAAATATAAATATTATACCTCGGCATGAAACGAATGAAAAATTGTTATAGAAGTACCAGCAAGTGAATTAATTCGGTTCATATGTGATTGGAATTCAGGACCGTGTCCTGAATTTTTTGATTAGTACTATCAAAAATAAATCAAACCATCTCTGTCCATAAACATTGCACCGCCAGTAACAAATAAATAAGCGTGAATCATTTCATGCTAAGTGTAAAATTGAAAAAAAATTTAAAAGAGATAACCTACAAGCAAAGTTTCAACCAAATCCCTGCGTCTACGTAGTTTAAGTAAAGGCTCGCTTAAACGAACACAGCAAAGACCAGTCTTTCTATAAAATTGACAAACGCCTGCACAACTAGAAAAATAAATTCCTTAGAAATCCACTTATAAAAAGTGCGAGGAAATAAAATTCAGTCTGTGAAATAAAGATGTAAGACAAATTCAAGGGTTCATTCCCGTTTCTCACCTCATAATTTCAAATATATTTCTAAATTAAAACCTCGTCATCCTCTTGCTCCAAGCAACAGTACAAGCTCGCTCGTTAAGCTTTCCATAGAAAAATTGATGATCAAAAAGTATGTAAAGTTGATGGATGTCAGGATGTGGATCGTCAAGCTCAAGAGAATCATCAACTAGATTGATAAAATTTGTAGAACTCGTGCTCATGATAGGACTGAAAATTTGAATGAAGAAAAAATTAGTAAAAAATAAAATAAACATTCATAAGACATTTATCCGGAAAAATCCGGCCGGATCCGGTCTGCCGAAATTATTTTAAATAAAACACTATTTTGGCATTATGATTTATTTCAATACCAGTTGAGTCTGAAAAAATTTCGGACCGGGGGACTTTTCAGTTTCGCTCTTCCAAGTTAGGGCTATTTTTGTATACCAATATATTTTTATTTTTTATCAGAATTTTTTGAATTTTATTAAAACATTTTTTATCTTTATTTTTAGCTTGCGTCAACATTTATTTTCAAAATCCTTAATACAAAAATTATGTCTCCTGATAAGGCATACATTTCTGGTGTAGTTGAAGGATTTTATGGACGTCCTTGGACAACGGATCAACGCAAACATTTGTTTTCATTGCTTCGTAAATTTGGAATGAACACTTATTTATATGCCCCAAAAGACGATTTGAAGCATAGAGCAGAATGGCGAATTCTTTACACGAGCGAGGAAGCAGGTTTTGAATTTTAATTTTTAATTAATTATTTTTAAAATTTAAGCTTTACTCGAATCCTTAATTCGAACAGCTAATGACAACGAAATTACTTTTGTGTATGCTCTGTCACCTGGTATCGACATTTTATATTCAAGCGTTAAAGAAATGAAAGCAATTAAAGACAAACTTAATCAGGTATTTCTTCATTTAAATTTTATTTTTTTTTCATAATTTAGGTTCGCTCTCTTGGTTGCAACGCTTTTTCTCTCCTTTTTGATGATATTGAAACTAGAATGAATGAAGCGGATAGAAGAAAGTTTACTTCTTTTGCCCATGCACAATTAACTGTAGCTAATGAAATATATGAGCATATGGGATGTCCTTTATTCTTTTTCTGTCCAACAGGTTTGTTAGGTTTCTATATTCTGGTTATTGAAGAATGGGAGGATTTGGATGTCTTTAGTTTTTTATATTTTTATTTTTTTAGAGTATTGTGAATCGTCCGCATCGCCAACTTTGGACGAGTCTGGTTATCTTACCGTGCTTGGCGCTGAACTTCACCCTGATATCCGTATTTTATGGACTGGTATGCATATTTCATTTTAATCTGAACAGATTTTGAAACAATTTTATCTTAAATTTTTAATGAAAATATTAATTCGATTTCTAGGCCCTCGAGTTGTTTCCCGCCTCCTCACTGCCGAACACCTTCAAAGGGTATCAGCTGTTTTAAAGCGGAAACCAACGATCTGGGATAATCTGCATGCTAATGATTATGATCCTAAACGAGTTTTTATGGGTCCATTCCTTGGTCGTTCAGTTGCGATACGTGCAGAGACTGCTGGACTTTTATTGAATCCAAATTGTAAATATGAAGCTAATTACATTCCAGTGAGTTGTTTCGTTATTTTTTCCAGAATTTTGTTAATTTTTGTGGATTTAATCCTTTTCTTAAACCAAGAAGAATTTTTAAATTACTTTTAATCTCTGATCCTAGGATTTTTTGGACCAAAAAATTTAAATTTTTTGATATATTTTTTCAGCTTTTCACACTTTCTGATTGGATTCAAAGCGATTCAGATGCACCACATGTAGAGAAAGGTTTAGTTTATAATTTTTACTTTCATTAAAATATTTCCTCTTTTTGACTATGATTTTAAAATTAGCAATTTTTAACTTATAATATTTACTTTCCCACTATTGAGATCAGGACGCAGTTCTTGAAACAGCGCCAACTGTAGAAGATGCAGTTGTTCGTGTTGTTGAAGAAAGTACACAAAGAACAAAGAAGCGTCTTTATCATCCACTCAACTCTCTTCGTGCTGCAATTCACAGTTGGCTACCTCATTTTGGTAGTGGACCTGGTCCAGCTATTCCTCCATTCTCTCAAAGAGAATCAATCCAAGCAATTGCTCCAGTTATTGCTCCGAATAAAGTTCACTCTTCAGAAGAGGTTCCACCGCCGACTATAAGAACTTGTGAAGGTTTGGACTTTTAAAAATATTTTCAATTTTTTTATGTTTAAGGGAATGAAATGCTTAATGGAGATTTTCCTCCACCAATTTATACTTCTCCAATAGGCCAGGCAACAACTGTTACTATTCAAGCATTTCCATTATCCGAGGCAATTATGGGTGTTGTGGCAGCACACGAAGACCCGAAAATTATAAGTAAAGAAGCCCTGACTGTTAATTCACTCACAATGGATTATAATGAACCGATGGATGCTATAGGAGAAGCAACATCAATTGAAGCTTCTGTGGAGCCTGGGAAAGTAATTTTTATTTTTTGTAAAATTTTAACTAATTTTGACTTGAAATTTTTTAAAAGGAAGAAGATTTTATAACAGCTCGAATGGATTTAGACACTCTCGAAACAGAAGAAAAGAAAAAACAAACAAGGAAAGCACTTGGGTAATTTATAACCTGTTTAAATAATTTCAATATTTTTAGTGAAATTGACCTGGATAGTATTGCATTATTTGTTGATATGTAAGCGAATTTTAAAGTATTTTTTATTTTCCGATTTTTTGAAATGAAAGCTTTATTATTTTTTAAACAATTCATTTAATTTTTCGCTGATTCATTAAATTTTCTTTCAATATTTTTTACAGTTTCTATTTACCATTCGAAAATGGACGAAGAGCACAAAACATCCTCAGCGAATTTAAATGGCTATATGAAAATGCTATGATTTTGCGGACAGACTCGGGCCAACAGAATACCAGGCAACAAGCAGAATCAGAAGAATGGCATCGACGAAATGCAGATTTTCAATCAACTGTTGAACAAATCAATGACCTCTATAGGTGTATAATAAAATCGCCAAATAAGGTTTTTTAAAAATAGATTTTTGTATATTTCTTAAATTTTGTTCAGAGTCTTTTACAAGAAATTTTCCCCTATTTATGGGAAGCGCAAGGCCTTTTTTCAATTCTTTGTGCATTGCTTGAATGGATGCTTAACGGAAATTTGATTCTATCACCTAGTGGTATGACAAGATTTTTATTAACATTTTTGGATTTTTTAATTTAATTTTTTGTTGTTTAAAGAAAAATAAATTAAAATTTCAGAATCAATTAATTCTACTGGATCAGTTGAAGTTGATTTTGATTTGGAACCTTGGGCTCTAAGTGGTGGTCTTTTACCTGATTTACAAAAATTAATTGCTGCTTCTCCCAAACTAGGAGAATTGTTTACAATAAAATTTCCGATTCCTCTAAGTCTAACATGTTATCGAATTCGGCCGTTGGATTTTTTGAATGTTAAAAAGGTGAGAAGTTTTTAATGTTTGCACGTTTCGTATTTTTTGTTATTTTTTCTTTAGATAATCATTGGTACCTTTTATTTTACTTATTTTTTATGAAATAAAAATCCCTTCCCTTCTCATAATTTTCAAATTTTTTCAGTCCAAACTCTACGCTATTTTTGCACACCCAGATGAAAGGCTTTTAGCAGAAACTATAGTCTCAGTCATTCCGGATCTTTCTGCCGAAACATATTTCTTTGATCGAACATTTGCACTTTTCCTCAAATATGGCATACCTGCTCACAATTTTATTGCTGAATCGGCTCAAGAAAATGATTTAGGTGATGGGAATTTGTTGGAAGATAAAGAAGGTTGTACAGATGATTGTCACGATTCTGGTTATTCAATTCAAGAAGGTTTTTTTATATTTTATTAGTTTTTGATAAAAATATAGAAGCTAATCTTTCGAAAAAAGTCTAATAAAATAATTCCGAAAAATTTTTAGATGGAATGTGCTCCCTTACAATGGCAATTTTAAATGTTCAAACAATTTTGGATGATATGAATAATGTTTTTATTAATGAATTTAAAAGAAAATATTCTTTTTCTAATAAAAACAAATTTAAAAATGAAATGAAAAATGAACTAACAACGAACGGTCAGGAAGACATGGAGCAAGGAGGAAAGGATGATGATGGACAGACAACGGTTGATTAATTTTTTTGAATAAAAAATTAATTTCTAATGTTTTTGGGTTTCTATTTTTCTAATTTATTCATACTGGGTTTCTATTTTAAATTAAGTTGTCAGTTTATATTTTGGAAAATTATTTAACAATATTTGATCTTACTCAAATTTTTTTCAGAAATCTTCCTCTTCTGAAATGGAAGGAACTGATTTTATTGATGATATTCATCTTTCATATCTTCAAACACTTCTCCATCTTCCTAAAGATTTTCTCCTCACATATCAAAGTTTAATTGAAATTCGTTGGCCTGATGATGCGACAGAAGCTGTTTCTGTTCGAAGGCTTTTACATTGTATTTCTGCTTCTTTGGCATTGAATGGTTAAAAATTTTTTTGAATTCTTGCAAAATTTAAAATAAAAATTTTCAGGTTCTACAGGTTTCTTCACAATTATTAAATCTGATAGAGATGAACAAATTGAATTACTTTCTCGTTTGGGTCTGGATATTTTGGATGTTGGAGACAATCAGCCAAATAATAATAATAATAATGGATATATTATCTTAGGTCATTCACTTTAAAATTTATATTTGAATTATTTAATTGATGCTGACCTTTTAAAATTGGTCTAATCATAATAAATAATATTTTTTTTATTTTTGGATAATTATTTTATCCACATTTTTAATTAAATTATAGATATATATTTGGATGCCATTTTTATTAATTATTGCTACAATTTTAGTGTGCGGGATTTTTCGGGATGGGGCTTATAATTATTCTTTATTTAAATGAGTATTAAGTTATTCAAAAACTACTAGGTATCTTACTTGTTAGGACATCTCTGATTGAGTAGTTCAGAACCAGTTTTAACGTTAAATTTTTGGTTCAAAACTTGTCATGAATTACTTTTTATCTTTATTGATATCTGGTTTAGATTAATAATAATTTTTTCATATAATAAAATAATTTTTAATTTTATAAAATATCAAAAGAAAAATGCCAAAATTCTAATATTGTTTTAATAATTGCCAATAGTCCCATTACCGAACTATCGTAAATCTTGGAAATTGAGCGGCAGCCAATGTATTTTTCGATACATCTTCAAGGGACCGCTCTAATAGAGGATGCCGTTCAATTAGAGGATTTACGGTAGATATGATCAAATTTTCTTTGCCAATTTGGTGTTAATAAAGATATCCTGTTTTATTTTCTCTAAGAAATAATTTTTAGAAAAGTTAAAAATTTATACCTATTTTGTTTTAAAAGTATTCCTTTTTTGCTTCTCTTATGTATTTTTAATTTAATATACTCGATTTTTAAATATTATTTGGCCCCCTAGTCTTTTATATATCCCTATTTAATATTGTAAACTTAATATATTTGTATTTTTTAAAAGAGAAATTTTAATTTGTAACAAATTAGGGTTTAAATTGAATAAATTTTTTTTAAATATTTTTATTTAACATTTTTTCAATTAAAACGATTTTTAACGATTTAATTTTTTAAATTTCATTTTTAGTATAATTAATATAAACATTTTAGTAAATGTTTTTGTTTTCAAGAAATAAAATAATTGTTAAGCGGTTGGTGGCTAATCGGTAGGGTTTAATTATTTAAATGAGGGGTATTGTGTAGTTGTAATCTTGTTAAATAGTTGAATTTTGAACTAGAAAGGGAGACTAGATAAATCGAATGAAGTTGTTTCATTCTCTAAATCGGACAAGATTTGTCTACATTAAAGTGGTAACGCTCCTTGGGTTGTGTTTATTTGGGTGCTTAAATATTTGGTGGGACAAGGGATTCTCTAAAAAGCTTAAAAAGGCGGGTGTTTTTCTGTTCTATTAAAAGAAATAAAAAATCTTTTTTTCAATTTTAGAAGGTTTTCCACTCCCTCACCTTCACCAACCTCCATACAAAATAATTTTGTACCTCCATCAACCTCAAATCTTTTAACACAAATTCCTTCAGAAATGCCTTCCTCAACTTTTGGATTATTTAAAGTTTTTATTGTTGCATTAATTAGTATGTTGGCTGGTGCTAAAACAGCAGAATTTGGTGCTTCTTTTCTTGAAGAAAGTGAAATTTTTGTTCGTTCTTCTGAAGATGATGATGATTAAAAAAATTTTTTTAAGTTCTCCCAAATAGATTTAATGTATTTACTCGGTGCTTTTTAATATTTGTACACTTTAATTTTTATTAGTACATATTCATGTGAGAATAGCGTTGTAATTTTGTTCATTGATTTTCTCGTGCTTAGAAAATATCCAAATAAATATCTAAAAAATTTTACGACCTGTCGGTGATTTTATTTGATTAAAATAAACAAATAGGACATAAGTTAGAACAAAATATTCTTAAAAATAATTCTAAAGAAAAAGTAAACTTAATTTCCATTCAAGAGAAATTTTCACAAAAAAACAAAAATTACTCTTAAGGCATTAATAGATAAAGACCGGAAAGCAGACTAGGTGAGAGATCAGAATCAGGGGCGGGCGCAATGCGTTTTGCTTTGATTTTTGGCCTTTCGTTGCGTTTTTGGGATTTGTTTTACCCGGCCCTGATTCTGATCTTTCACCTTCCGCTTTCCGGCCTTTATTTATTACTGTAAACTAATTTTTTTTGAAAGTTTTTTTAAACCAACTTTATAATTTTATTTCCTTATTTAATTGAAATAAAAATTTAAAATTTTTAAAAAATTAAAAATTTGCCACGTTAATCCGTAAAGTAAGAGTTTTGACGTAAATCCAACACTAAATTCATATTATATGAGAAAACTTTGCAGATGTATAAATAATATAAAATAATAAAAATTTAAAATTTTTAAATAATTTAAAATTTGCCACGCAAACCCTTTAATTAAGTAAATAAATGATATGAGTAAATAAATGGAATATTTAGTATATTTAAGCTAGTCTTAAAATTTCTATATTGCTTAATTTTTTATAGAATTTTTAAATATAGTTAAACAAGAGGAAATAAAAAACTGTATATCCCTCTTAATCCTCAAATCCATTAATTTTACTCTTAATCCATCCAAATCCATTTAATCCCTGTCTCTTAATTCATCCAAATCCATTTAATCCCTGTCTCTTAATTCATCCAAATCCATTTAATCCCTGTCTCTTACTATATCACTCATATATCTCTCTTGTTAATCCCGCAAATCACTGATATCATCAACTTCTCCAAAAAACATGGTTGCGTGTTCAAATTTTTCTGACCCGATCCGAAACCCGACCTGACTTTTTCCTTTACCCGGCCCGTCCCTGCTGTCGATCACTGTTTTACTGTAAATCTTAAATTGACAATGACACTTTTAATAGATAGACCCTTTAAGAGTGGCAGAAAAATAGAATGACCTGATAAATTTATTTGATAAATTAATTTTTTAAAGATAATTTTATTAAAAAATCAAGAATGTCTCCATCAATTAAAATTTTTCTTCTTTTTATTTTTGCAACTTTAATAATTAATAGTCAACAACAATGTGTTCCTAAAGGTGGTGATTGTAGTTCTGATATAAGCGTCTCTAGTTGTTGTCAAGATAAAGAAACACTATTTTGCTTAGATTGGGGTAACAACAAAAAACAATGCCACAATTGTAAACCAAAGGGAAAACCATGTTATCCGGGAACTTTACAGAATGATTTCTGTTGTAATAAATGTGATTCTGTCAAGAAAGTTTGTACATAAAGAAGAGAAATAATTTAACCGTCCTTAAATGTGACTGATATTAAATGAAGGGAATTTATATATTAATTTTAACAATCCTATTCTTTTCCTTACTAATACATATAATTATGGGCAATTAAATTAAAAAATGTATTTCTAATTAAAATTAAAATAATCGGAACTTTATTTCAAAAATAAATCTATTACTGAAACAATAATTTCATTTTGTGTTTCCTCAAATTTCTGCTGATTTCTGCTGAAATCACACAGCACACAAATCAAAAAATTTTAAAAAATTGGTTTTTAGAAGAAAAAAGAAAATTTAAATATAAAATAATTGGTAATAATTAATTAAATTATTGAATTTTTAACTTAGGTATATTTATATTCAAATCAACTCAAATTCTTTCAACAAAATAGAACGCACGCTTACATCCGCAGCACTAAAATATAAATGCCTGGGAAGAGTTTCGGAGTAGGAAGGGTTCGGGGGGAGATTTATAAATTTTTATTTACTGGCAAGTTAACTTGCTTTTTCAAATTTATATTAGAAGCATTTATTATTATTTAAAAAATTATTAAAGAAAAATAAAGAAAATTATCATAGTAGAAAAGAGATAAAAGTTTTATGAAAAAGATAAAGGAAAAGATAAATTTTAAATGTAGTTTTCGGTTCTGTTTCACATGTTCCAGGAGAACACCTTAATTCTGACATTTACTATTATCTTCACAAGTTCCAAGACAACACTCTGGTTTTCCATTGCAATACTCCCCAGCACTTGTACATTTCTTACATTTACTGTCTTTTTCACTAGGGATTGAACGACAATTTAAACCAAAGCAACATCTATCGTAGTCTTGATTACATGACTCATTTTCTTTTTTTCATTGTTGTTGAAGACATTGATATCTTGAGTTTCTTTGCCAGTTATTACGTCCAGGTTTATCCCAAGTACGCGTGCAAGATAAACCATTACAACAACTAGTAGCGTTACAACCAGATTGATAATATTGTAAACATTTTTGACATTTTGTTAATTCAAAAATTAAAAAAGTTGAAAAAACAAAAAGAAAATAAATATTAATTGAAGAAGACATTTCTTTAGAAGAAAATATTTTTATTTTAAATTTAACTTAAAATAATTTTAATTTTTAAAGATTAGTTTTAAATGTAATTTTAAATGTAGTTTTCGGTTCTGTTTCACATGCTCCAGGAGAACACCTTAATTCTGACATTTACTATTATCTTCACAAGTTCCAAGACAACACTCTGGTTTTCAATACATCTTCAAGGGACCGCTCTAATAGAGGATGCCGTTCAATTAGAGGATTTACGGTAGATTTTCTTTGCCAATTTGGTGTTAATAAAGATATCCTGTTTTATTTTCTCAAAGAAATAATTTTTAGAAAAAAAATAATTTCTATTAAAAATATTCCCTCCCTTTGCTTCTCTTATGTATTTTTAATTTAATATACTCGATTTTAACACATCAATTATTTGTTTTTAAAAATAAATATTATTTGGCCCCCTAGTCTTTTTATATCCCTTTTTAAATATTGTAAACTTAATATATTTGTATTTTTTAAAAGAGAAATTTTAATTTGTAACAAATTAGGGTTAAATTGAATAAATTTTTTTAATATTTTTATTTAACATTTTTTTTCAATTAAAACGATTTTTAACGATTTTTATTTTTTTTTAAATTTTATTTTTAGTATAATTTATAAAAACATTTTAGTAAATGTTTTTGTTTTCAAGAAATAAAATAATGGTTAAGCGGTTGGTGGCTAATCGGTAGGGTTTTAATTGTTTAAATAAATGGGGTAATAGATAGTTGTAATTTTGTTAAAATATTTGAATTTTGGACTTGAAAGGGAGACTAGATAAATCGAATGAAGTTGTTTCATTCTCTAAATCGGACAAGATTTGTCTACATTAAAGTGGTAACGCTCCTTGGGTTGTGTTTATTTGGGTGCTTAAATATTTGTTGGGGCCCGGAGTTAGCTAAAAAGCTTAAAAAGGCGGGTGTTTTTCTGTTCTTTTAAAAGAAATAAAAAAATCTTTTTTTCAATTTTAGAAGGTTTTCAACTCCCTCACCTTCACCAACCTCCATACAAAATAATTTTGTATCTCCATCAAGCTCAAATCTTTTAACACCAATTCCTTCAGAAATGCCTTCCTCAACTTTTGGATTATTTAAAGTTTTTATTGTGGCTTTAATTAGTATGTTGGCTGGTGCTAAAACAGCAGAATTTGGTGCTTCTTTTCTCGAAGAAAGTGAAATTTTTGTTCGTTCATCTGAAGATGATGATGATTAAAAAAAATTCTTTTTAAGTTCTCCCAAATAAATTTAATGTAATTTACTCGGTGCTTTTTAATATACTTTGTACAATTTAATTTTTATTATTACATATTCATGTGAGCGTTGTAATTTTGTTTTTTGATTTTCTCGTGCTTAAAAAATATCCAAATAAATATCTAAAAAATTTTACGATCTGATTTTATTTGATTAAAATAAACAAATAGTACATAAGTCAGGGCAAAATATTATTAAAAATAATTCTAAAGAAAAAGTAAACCTAATTTCCATTTAAGAGAAATTTTCACAAAAAAAACGCAAATTACTCTAAGGCAGTAATAGATAAAGGCCGGAAAGCGGACTAGGTGAGAGATCAGAATCAGGAGTGGACGCTAGAAACAATCCCCAAAAACGCAACGAAAGGCCAAAAATCAAAGCAAAACCATTGCGCCCGCCCCTGATTCTGATCTCTCACCTAGTCCGCTTTCCGGCATTTATCTATTACTATAAACTAATTTTTTTTGAAAGTTTTATTAAACCAACTTTATAATTTTATTTCCTTATTTTATTTAAATAAAAATTTAAAATTTTTAAAAAATTAAAAATTTGTAAATAAATGACTTAAGTCCTTTACTTAAGTAAATAAATGATATGAATAAATAAATGGAATATTTAGTATATTTAAGCAAGTTTTAAAACCTCTACATTGCTTAATTTTTTATAGAATTTTTAAATATAGTTAAACAAGAGGAAATAAAAAACTGTATATCCCCCTTAATCCCCAAATCCATTAATTTTACTCTTAATTCATCCAAATCCATTTAATCCCTGTCTCTTACTATATCACTCATATATCTCTCTTGTTAATCCCGCAAATCACTGATATCATCAACTTCTCCAAAAAACATGGTTGCGTGTTCAAATTTTTCTGACCCGATCCGAAACCCGACCTGACTTTTTCCTTTACCCGGCCCGTCCCTGCTGTCGATCATTGTTTTATTGTAAATCTTAAATTAAATGACCCTTTTAATAGATAGGCACTTTTAGAGTGGCAGAGAAATAGAATGACCTGGGCCCTATTTCAATTGTCCACAGATTCTGCGGTCTGCGTTCTGTGCACAGACCACAGAACCACAGAAATTCTGTTTCAATTATTCCACAGATTCTGCGGAAAAAGAAGTCCGCAGATTCTGTGGAAACATGCACAGAATCTGTGGAAACATCCACAGATTCTGCAAAACATCCAAAAACATGCAAAAACCACAGAATTCTATTTCAATTATTTTTCTGTGCACAGAAAAAAATCCACAGATCTGTGGCTTTTTTAGTCGATTCTGTGCATTTCTGTTTCAATTATTTCTGTGGTCTGCGGAAAATACACAGAATTCTTTAAAAAATCCACCCTAAAATTTTTTCTGCGAACTTTCTGTGGAAAAACTTTAACAATTTTTTTCTAGGCCTAGGCTTAACCAAATTTCAAAATTTTTAAAGATTATTAAAGTTTGAATCATTCTCTATTTTTTGATATAAAAATTATAATTTTATTACCTAAAATTATTGCTTAAAATTAATTTTGAAAAAGGTACATCTTTTTTACGCAGTTTTTGTTATATTCAAGCAATAAAAAAATAAAAAACGTGAGAGATTCTGAAATTTAGAGCTATGATGTTCTAATCATCATGGATATCTCTAATGAGGGGATGTTTACCAGGATCTATAGAAGATATCTGTATAGCGTATACTGGGATATCTCCCATGATCTCTCATTGATATCCGTCATAATCTCTCCTCCTATTTAATGATAGATTTCCTCCTTAATCACTCCAATATATTAAACCTCAAAATCAATGGATATCCCACTTAATCACTCCTCTACGATTTTAAAGTTCCGATTTGACTATAATTTTGGATTCCAGGCATTTTCGATTTCCAGGAACCTCAATTTCTGACTAAACAATCCCCAGTTTTGTAACATTTCCCTCCCTTGCAACAACTTCTATCGTAGTTTGAAAAAGCCACATGTCGGATCGACATCTCCTGATTTTTCCGATCCGAACCCTGCTTTAGGACATTAATTTAATTGGAGATTTAAGGATATTGGATGAACAAGAAAATTAAGCGGTATATCAGCGGTTTTAAAGTGATATCAAAGAGATTTAAAGGGATGTTATGTGATTTGGAGGGAAAATTTTTAAATCTTTACAATATTTTTCAGTTTAATTTAAGAATTTTTAAAGTTTTACTTCAAAAAATCAGGTACCATTAATACTGCGGTAGTACCGAACTGTCCAAACCATTTTTCGTTTCAATAAAACTGTTATTTTCAAAAACGCGGAAATAAAAAATTTGAATTTAGAAGAAAAAATACACAGAACCACAGAAAAATAATTGAAATACAAATTCTGTGGATCAGTGGAAAAAATCCACAGATTTTTATATTTTCCACAGAAATTTTCATCCACAGAATCTGCGGAATGTTTCCACAGAATCATTGGATGTTTCCGCAGAATCTGCGGGCACCACAGATTCTGTGCACACAGAATTTAATTGAAACAGAATTTCCACAGAATCTGTGTTCTGTGCACAGAATGCAGAATCTGTGGACAATTGAAATAGGCCCCTGATGAATTTATTTGATAAATAAATTTTTTTAAGATAATTTTGTTAAAAAAATGTCTTTATTAATTAAAATTTTTCTTCTTTTTATTTTTGCAACTTTAATAATTAATAGTCAACAACAATGTGTTCCTAAAGGTGGTGATTGTAGTTTTGATATGAGCGTCTCTAGTTGTTGTCAAGATAAAGAAACACTATTTTGCTTAGATTGGGGTAACAACAAAAACCAATGCCACACTTGTAAACCAAAGGGAAAACCATGTTATCCGGGAACTTTACAGAATGATAAATGTTGTAATGATTGTGATTATAAAAATACCGTTTGTAAATAAAGATGAGAAAGAATGTGTGGAGGATCTAAAAAGATTTAAAAAGAGAGGATTTTCTATTAATTTTCCAATTTTCTTTTATTTCATATATAATAATGGGCAATTAAACGCGAAAAATGTATTTTTAATTAAAACAATCGGGACTTTTTTTTTCAAAAAAAATAAATTTATATGGAAATATTTTACACTATCTTTCCTCAAATTTGATATAAAAATTTTTTTATTTTTTTTGTACTAGCAACACTTTGAAAAAATTAATGGTAACAAACACCTATTTATGATATATAAAATAAAATTTTAATTAAAATTAAATATTATTAAAAATTCTTTTTGAAGAAATTAAAATTTTGTTAATTTGAATGTAATAATATAAAATTAATTTTAACTCCACTTGCCACGAACAGAAATAGAACCTTCGACCTCTTGGCCGTTTCTACATACATAATATCAGAATTTTCTATCTTAGGTTAATAAAAAAGTATGAGATTGTAAATTCTTAATGATAATTTGTAAATATTATTCAATAAACATTGCAACTCTACTGCAAAAATTTCAGAAAAATCCGACAACGGGAACGCAAAAAATTCAAGGGGGTTATAATTTCTTAACACACAATAAAATAAATGTTTATAGTACCCAAAAAAATATTTAAAAATTTAAATAAATTTATATTGCAAGCATTTATGTATTAACACAAAAATTATTAAAAAAAATTAGAGTAAATTATCAGAAAGAAGAAAAGAAATTAAAAAAGTATTAAGGAAAAGATAAAAGTAATTATAATAAAGTAGATGCTTGAATTTATTTTAATTGTAATTTTAGTTTTTTTTTCGGCATTAAACCAATAACCTTAATTCTGACATTTATTTTCTTCACAACTTCCAAGACAACACTTTGGTCTTCCAAAGCAAAAGTCCCCAGCACGTTTACATTTTTTACAATTACTTTCTCTAGCACAATTTAAACCAAATATTACTAATTAATAGGGACAGCCAAAACATGCAAATGCATGTTTTGTATGCGGATATGCCTTGATGTGGGAAGCCCAAAAATGGTGTTTTTACATGTGTCCGAGCACTTTAGGACCCGGTTCTTAATGCATATATTTGCATATTTCGGCCCTCTCGTGCATATTTGCATATTTGTCCATATTTTGGCTAATTTTGCATATTTTGGTCCATATTTCGGCATTTTTTGTAAAATTATGCTATAAATTGACCAAAATTTTAAAATTTTTTGGTCAAAAATTTTTTTATAAAATTTTTTATATTTTTTATAAAAATTTCTTGAAAAAATATTTGCGAAAATTTTTTTGGGAAAAATTTTTTCACAAAAAATTCTTGCAACAGTTTTAAATCCATTAAATCTTTTAGGAGTGCTATTAAAATGTAAAATTCAGGCTAAATTATTGTTTTTAAATTAAAATATTGATTTTTATAGCATATTTTAACTATTTTTTGTTGCATATTTCAGTGCATATTTTAGCAAATTTTGCATATTTTAGTGCATATTTTGGGCTTTTTCGGTGCATATATATGCGCATATTTGGCGATTTTCCGTGCATATTTTGGCTGTCCCTACTAATTAAGTAAGAATTTAATCAAATAGGTAGAGATGTTTTAGGCAGAGATGTTTATTTGGCCCCCTAGTCTTTTTATATCCCTTTTTAAATATTGTAAACTTAATATATTTGTATTTTTTAACAGAGAAATTTTAATTTGTAAAAAATTAGGGTTTAAATTGAATAAATTTTTTAATATTTTTATTTAACATTTTTTCAATTAAAACGATTTTTAACGATTTAATTTTTTTTAAATTTTATTTTTAATATAATTAATAAAAACATTTTAGTAAATGTTTTTGTTTTCAAGAAATAAAATAATGGTTAAGCGGTTGGTGGCTAATCGGTAGGGTTTAATTATTTAAATAAATGAGGGGTATTGTGTAGTTGTAATCTTGTTAAAATATTTGAATTTTGGACTTGAAAGGGAGACTAGATAAATCGAATGAAGTTGTTTCATTCTCTAAATTGGACAATATTTGTTTACATCAAAGTGGTAACGCTCCTTGGGTTGTGTTTATTTGGGTGATTAAGTATTTGGTGGGACAAGGAATTCTCTAAAAAGCTTAAAAAGTAGGGTTTTTTCTGTTCTTTTAAAAGAAATAAAAAATCTTTTTTTTCAATTTTAGAAGGTTTTCCACTCCCTCAACTTCACCAACCTTCATACAAAATAATTTTGTATCTCCATCAACCTCAAATCTTTTAACACCAATTCCTTCAGAAATGCCTTCCTCAACTTTTGGCTTATTTAAAGTTTTTATTGTTGCTTTAATTAGTATGTTGGCTGGTGCTAAAACAGCAGAATTTGGTGCTTCTTTTCTTGAAGAAAGTGAAATTTTTGTTCGTTCATCTGAAGATGATGATGATTAAAAAATTCTTTTAAATTCTCCCAAATAAACTTAATGTAATTTACTCGGTGCTTTTTAATATATTTTATTTGTACAATTTAATTTTTATTATTACATATTCATGTGAGAATAGCGTTGTAATTTTGTTTGTTGATTTTTTCGTGTATTTATTTGGATATTTAGAAAATATCCAAATAAATATCTAAAAATTTTTACGACCTGTCGGTGATTTTATTTGATTAAAATAAACAAAAAGGACATAAGTTAGAACAAAATATTATTAAAAATAATTCTAAGGTAAAAGTAAACTTAATTTCCATTCAGGAGAAATTTTCACAAAAAAACGAAAATTACTCTTAAGGCAGTAATAGATAAAGATCGAAAAGCAGACTAGGTGAGAGATCAGAATCAGGGGCGGGCGCAATGCGTTTTGCGTTGATTTTTGGCCTTTCTTTGAGTTTTTGGGATTTGTTTTGCGTCCACTCCTGATTCTGATCTTTCACCGTCCGCTTTCCGGCCTTTATCTATTACTGTAAACTAATTTTTTGAAAGTTTTATTAAACCAACTTTATAATTTTATTTCCTTATTTTATTGAAATAAAAATTTAAAATTTTTAAATAATTTAAAATTTGCCACGCGAATCCCTCAATTAAGAGTTTTGACGTAAATTCATATTATATAAGAAAACTTCGCAGATGTATAAATGATATAAAATAATAAAAATTTAAAATTTTTAAATAATTTAAAATTTGCCACGCAAACCCTTTACTTAAGTAAATAAATGATATGAGTAAATAAATGGAATATTTAGTATATTTAAGCAAGTTTTAAAACCTCTATATTGCTTAATCACTTACACATTTCTAAATATAGTTAACCAGGAGGAAAAAACTCTTTATATCCCCCTTAATCCACAAATCCATTAATTTTACTCTTAATCCATCCAAATCCATTTAATCCCTGTCTCTTATCATATCACTCATATATCTCTCTTGTTAATCCCGCAAATCACTGATATCATCAACTTCTCCAAAAAACATGGTTGCGTGTTCAAATTTTTCTGACCCGATCCGAGGCCCGACCTGACTTTTTCCCTATCCGGCCATCGTTGCTGTCGATCATTGTCTTACTGTAAATCTTAAATTAAATGACACTTTTAATAGACAGACCCTTTAAGAGTGGCAGAAAAATAGATTGATCCGGAGCAGTTCAACTGAGTCCCGGCTGTCCCGGCCCTATAACTCAAGTACGAATTGATAATTTCTAATGATTTTGGTACCATTGTATAGAGCATTAGATGGGCTACAATATAGCAAAGAATCAAAATTTTTGGATGATTGATAAAAAAAGTTATGATCTAAAAACTAACTTTTTCAAAAAAATCTGATTTTTCGGCACTTTATCGATCATAACTTTTTTACCAGTCGGTCGGAAATTTTGATTTTTTGGTATATTGTAGCCTATTTAATGCCCTATCCAATGGTACCAAAAGTAACAAAAAGTGACCATCCCTTCATAAGTTATAGGGTCCGGGACTCAATTGAGGTGTACCGAGAATGACCGGACGAATTTATTTAATAAATAAATTTTTTAAAGATAATTTTATTAAAAATCAAAAATGTCTCCATCAATTAAAATTTGTCTTCTTTATATTTTCGCAACTTTAGTAATTAATAGTCAACAACAATGTGTTCCTATAGGTGGTAATTGTGTGAACAAATTTTGTTGTGGCGATCTACTTTGCTTTAAATGGGGTACAGAACATCAATGCCACACTTGTAAAAAAAAGGGAACAAAGTGTGATCCGACAGCTTTACAGAATGATTTTTGTTGTAATGTTTGTAATATTAATAAAGTTTGTACTTAAAGATGAAAAAGAATGTGTGGAGGATTTAAAAAAGAGATGATTTTCTATCAATTTTCCAATTTTCTTTTATCTCCTATATAATGGGCAATTAAACGAGAAAAATGTATTTTTAATTAAAACAATCGGGACTTTTTTTCAAAAAAATAAATCTATATGGTAATATTTTACTTTATCTTTCCTCGAATTTGATATAAAAAAATTTTTTGTACTAGCAACACTTTGAAAAAATTAATGGTAACAAACACCTTATGATAAATATGTACAATAAAATTTTAATTAAGATTAAATATTTATAAGAAATTTTTTGAGGAAATTAAAATTTTGTTAATTTAAATATAATAATATAAAATTAATTTTAACTCCTATTGCAAAGGAGTTAAAGGAGAGAAATAGAACCTGCTACATAATACAGAATTTATTATATTAATCCTAGGTTCATAAAAAAGTATGAGATTTTAAATTCTTAAAGATAATTTGTAAATATTATCCAATAAACATTACATCGTTACTCAAAAATTTCAGAAAAATCCGACAATAGAAACTCAAAAAATTCCGTGGCGCGAACTTTGCGGACCCGAATTTTGCGGAACGAAAGTTGCGGACCCGAAGGTTGCGGACACGAAGTTTGCGGACCTGATTTTTGCGGAACCAAGATTTTAGGACCGACACTTGAGTAAAATTGAAAAATTAAAAATTTTATTTTTCGATGATTCCGGCAGAATTTACCATGATCCGTACCGGACTCATGATTTTTTCTTGATTTTTCAAAAATTTTTATCAATTTCTTATCTTAAAATTATTTCTAATTTAAATAATCGAGAAAATTCCTTGAAGAAATCATTCATATGGCCATTTCATAAGGTCATGTTGCCTGAATTTATCCTAATT